TGTACGCGGATCACGTGAGATTTTCACCCGTGTCATCCCTATATAGAGCGTCTACCGACGCTCTGATAGACACCATAGCATTTTGGATACTTGCACGGCTAAATCTGAGTATAATATTTTTTGCAGAGCCACGAAAAACTTGTCTTGAACAATGCTATAAGTAAACTAGAATCACTCACTTGGGCTGCCTTGGCTGTGTTTCCTGATATTTGCTGCGGACTTCTCTCCTGAAAAATACATAATGCAACCTGGTACAGTATAATGTTTTACAGCCTGTTCTTCTGTCTTTTAGTTTCACTATAACACACACACACACACACACACCAGTCTCTCTCCCAACCCAGCAGGAAAATTATGAGAGACAAACTTTCTTGATTGACGACAACGAGAGTTTTACGGAAACGTTATTTCAGTGTCCACAGAAATCGGAACGAAAGTAATTTCGCAAGGAGAACAGCGGACCACTTCCAAACAATGCAAAATTCGTCAAAAGTTCTTGTAATAATGTAATAATTCACACACTTTGCCAGGTTTATAGTTGAAGACAATGGTTGACTCCTGGACTCTGACTGGTGGCATCTGAAGATGCTTGAACCACACGCAGAGCTGACTCCCCCATCCTCCATCACCCAGTACATCTCTCAGTACATTCTTCTCTATTAGCATGACTGATCTGGGTTGGGTAAGGTGGGGAGGGGAGGCGAGAGGGGGATAGGAAAAAAGGTAGTAAGAGGGAGTGGGGGGAGGGGAGGGAGGTGGAATAAAACGTGGCAGGGAGAAAAGAAGAAGAAAAGAGGAGATGGGTAGAGTGGAGAAGAAAGAGGGATGCAGAGAGGCTTAAAGTTGAAACGGCATGTGAGAGAGTGACTTGTACCTGTCAAGCACTAGGATGATTGCCTTCTTTGATATTTTGACGTGGCCGTGGTAAAACTGATTCACAAACTTTTCCCTCATCCACCGCCTACAATGACAGACAACTATTAATACTCAGAAAGACATGTGTATTTCTGCTCACGCGAAGCAGAGCAGTTCCAAGAGCTTTGCCCGGAGAGAACGGCCTCACAACCTGCAGATACGTATGTATGAGATGACGTAATCATTCATAACACCCAGCTGCATTCTATTAGGAGAGCACCTACCCCATCTCTGCCAATGAATCGAGGAGGTCTGATGTCTTTGATTTCAAAGTTTCCTACTTGAGTTTTCCTGGAAGAGACCAAAACAGCTAACAATCCTAAATAATAATTTACACATTTCGCAATGGGAAAATCACTTTCATCTTGAGCACATGCATAATATGATTTTTGTGATTGCAGTTTCTTACCAGGAGTGTATGAGCCGCCCAAACCATAGCAAACTTATTTCTTTGGACGGGCTCATACGTACGCTCATTTTCTTACACGAATGCATAAGAATCATTGCTTGCAAGACCTCCGAGCTATAATGTGGCGCAGCTACATACCTACCTGGTGACAAAGTCAAGAGTGCCACTGGTGAGATCAATGAGACCGCCGGTGGGTCTGACTACCAGTCCAACCAGCCCCTTCCCCACCCCCTTAAACAGCCCCACTGCTCCCTCCTTCTGAGCCCCTGCAGACACACAGTATATATAGACATAATATATACACCATACCATTGACACAGCAGGGACAACAATATGCTTTGGTATATAGCGAAATGCGAACATATATTGGTAAGCAAACGCAAGTGAAAAACCTGAGCAGATTACAAGACAATATGGTATGGTGGCAGTACAGGCTACCTGTAGTACATAGGGTGGTTTATGCTACCTACATATAATCAAATTTGCGATGAAAACTCTGACCTTTTACTGGCTGAGCTACGACACCAGTCACCCCTTCAAACACGTTCTACAAAGAAGACAGTAGAATGCAGACTAGACCATTATAGTCTCATACATCCTCTAGAGTGGGACACTTTGGCAAAGAAACGGGAACACAAATTTGCAACGGCATCGGCCAATTTCAAAGCTTTCACAGTCATATGCATATTATAGGCAGATCTCAAGCCGTGAAACTAGCAAAAATCTTTCCCATAGAGTGCATCCTGATGTGTAGAGAGACTACAGCCTATTACTACTATAAGTAGTGGGCCATTGCAGACCTTGGCAAAGCCGCCAAATTTGGAGCCGAGTCTCGGAGGCTTCGTCTTCCGCTGCTGTCTCTTGTCCTGAAACTGCTCGTCAAACGTCAGCTTTGCAAACACGTCGCCCACGGCGCCAGTTATCTTGGCCCCTGCTCCCGTTATCCCTCCTAGAGACACATGTACAACAGAGACGATTTAAAATTTCAACCAAGTGTCCAATAGAGTTACTCAGAGCACCTATCAACTATCAACCAGTACAGTAGTACCTAGAGATACATAGGGTTGGTACCTACGTACAGCATTATGGATGTATGGGGCTATGACAGGGAGTTTTGTTCATTAACACTTCTGGCTTAAATCCCCCTTTACCATGCTCATATTTCACACTTTGTACGCTACTATAATAGGTGACTCCACTACCCATATTATTATGTACTTATAAACGTAGGTGGAACTCACCTACTGTTCCACCCACGAAACTCCTGAGGCCAATCCCCAGACCTTCTAAGAACTCTTCAGGTCCCAGCACACTCCCCTATGAGAGAAAAGAGAGAGGGAGAGAGAGAGAGAGAGGGGGGAAAAGAAGGAAGGGAGAGAAGGAGGAAAGAATGAGGATAAAGGAAAAACTATAGCTGCCATAGAACCGCTGTCTCTCTCTACAAACCTTGATGGGTTCATAGAAGAGGTCAATGGTCCCTCCCACGACTCCTCTCACCACATTGACCGGGTTCCCCAGTACGTCCAGTCCCAGTACTAGAGTATACAGCTCTACCAGTGCCTGTAATAGGGTGAGTTACTCCATTACATCATAATGATGTAATGCTATGATGTCACAATGGCATGGCATATTACGTGTACAGTAGCGGTTCCTACCGCTGCTTCTAACAGTCTTTTGAGTTACTCCATTAAATGATGGCGACGTAATGCCTATGATGTCACAATGATGTAATGATAGACCTGTGTTCTGTAGTGTTTGATGAGTTTCCTAGTGAGAGCTCTACCAGTCTTCATCTGGTACTCCATGTGGAACAAACTGAACCTGCAGAATAGGAGGTGGGAAGAAGGCACCTAAAATTGTGCATTGGGTGAAAAGGAGAGAGGGGGGAGGGGGAGGGGGGCACCTAAACATTGTGTTGCGCATGCTATGTATCCACGTAAATGTGGCGGTTTATTTATTACACTTTTCTCGCTATACAGAGTCCCTACACATCATATCGTGATCATAGCAAACCAGTGCAACAGACACAGCACCACATGATGTACACTCTTTCAGCCAGCACGAGCAGGTCATTATTAAACACTCGGCAGGCAAGGGAAGGATGCACACACACAGTAGGGAAAGAACTGACTTCATTTCAGTGTCCTGAACGGAGGTGAGAATGGCTCCCAGAGAGTGGAGGAACAGCTCCAGAACCCTGTCTCCCACAGTGTTGCTGTCCTTGTTCTTACCTACACTCCTCACGTTGAAACTCACCACCATCTGTCGGGGTTGGGAGAGAGAGAGAGAGAGAGAGAGAGAGAAAGAGAAAGAGAGAGAGAGAGAGAGAATACTGGTAAATTAGGAATTTTCATTTGTGTTCTTGGATTTATTTTTCCATGTGAGAAAATCGTTCTCGGGATTTGGACAACGAGAAAGAACAAAGTAAAAGAGTGGTTGAAGGGAATTATACGAAGGAAGCAGAGAAGAGAATAAGTATGCTGACCTTGATTGGAGCAATGTGCAGAACGTCAAAGAAGCTCTTACTAGCGTCCAGGTCTTTTGGACAGCTATAGAGGAACGGAATAAAGAACCATTGAATACCGCACTTCCAGGGACTGTGGCTGAAGCACTCACGGCGGGGACTATAGTCTCTTTGAGGGATTTCTTGGTGTCTTCAATGTCACTCCTCACATACTCTGCCTGCAGGTGTCGAGTTGTTTGTTCATACATGACGAATACATGACGAATACATGATAAATATATGACGAATACATGACGAATCTTATGTAAGCAAAGCAGGCGCAAATCAACGAACCTAGGACGACACTTTTTCCAAGGAAAAAAAGAAGAGCTGCCCTAGGTGTCACGTACTTACGCTACTTTACCCACGACACTTCTGCAGCTCTTAGCGCTCCACCTGTTATAGCTCCATGCGACTATTTATCAGCATGCTCCATGACCATTTAGTACCGGTGCCGCTACCCTCCTGAAGCTACACGTAGGTAACCTAGATGCTGAGGCCATGGGACAACTACGCCGATTTAGTTGAGCCGAGGGTCACCTCTAACTCCGGAACTTCTGATTGGTCAATATGCATTGTGTTTTTACCCCATTCTGTAGTCTCTAATGTCAACACTGCGATGGCTGATCTGTCCCCTCTTACATCTCAGTGTGAATATTGGCTCGCTCTCGGCCCTGAGAGAAAGCCACCACACGCCATGCGCGACAATCCCAGATCAGCATTGACTGCCATCTTCTGCACCAGCACATGAACATACCTGTAGCAGCGTGGAACCAGGAATGGAGTACTGGGAATTGCGTGCGGTATTGACATCACATGGTATTGGTGAACCACAGACACTGGGACTGGCTCCAAACCGTTCTCCTACTGTTGGGTAGCGGTGACATAATGACCAACACATGGGAATGGGGCATTGAAATGCTGAGACACTCCTTCTTGAATGTTGTTATATCTGTTCCTTCTGCGCGGCACACTCGGTCGTCCCTCTTCTTTCGTCTTTCTCAGACTTGATGCTCACGTCCTCCCACACATCAATGGCTTTGCTCTGGAGGGAGAATCAATCAGTTGGGAGACCGGTGGCTGAGAAAGCACAGCGTGTGACTGCAAGGGATGAGACAGAAGCGTTACACTTAAGCTACACTTAATGTGCTACACCTTGAGGGGGGAAGAGAGGAGATGCGCGCACCAGGTGGAGGAATGGGACGCGTAAAGAACGAAGAGACTGCGGATTCACCAGTTTCAGAGGCCACAGTTGGAGGCGGTGGTAGAGGATACAGCACTTGAGGGTTATGACCCAGAAAACGGAGTTGTTGCTCCCCCTGCACACACACATTTAACCCAATATACTCCACCCCCAACTAGAACTAGTACATAGCTGCAGCTACAACATACATCATACCCTAGACTGTACTTTGCTTTCACATCGTAGCTTTCAGACCACCCGTACAGTCAGTAGGCAGGAAAGAGAGCCTTTTACCTGACTGTCAGCATACTACTATAGCGTCCACGGAGTAGTCATGTTTCCATCGCTCACTGGCGAACTGACGATCGACTCGTACCGTGGCGTAGTCCCTGCGTACCGCTTGCCCTCACCGGACTATACAGCTATCATCAATCGTGCGGTCCGCCATTTGCCCGCACACAATAGACACATGCATCGTGCCTGCATATCTCTCTCGGCATAATATGCTCACAGAAACATTCTTGTATTTGACGTCTAGTTTGCTTATCTTGCCAGTGGGCTCTTCTAGGCGGTAGGTTTTAATGTTCTGCACTATATACTGAGCGTTCTGTCTTGAGAGTACTTCCACTTCTTCTGCGTTGACTTTCTCCACCTGCCAGATGACCCCTGACCTGAGGCAAGAGCGGTGCACGTGCAATATAATAGTGGGTCTGGAAGAGTGAGGACTGCGGAGAGAGGATATCGTAAGGTCCCAGTTGCTTGTGGACTCGCTAGGCTACAAAAACCTCCTCTCTTGCCTAAAAAAAACAAAATAGTTTCATTACATCTTTGTCTACAGGTGCTTAGGTAAGACACAGTCCTGTCCATCCAATCACCTTGCTCTACACCAGACGGTGCCCAACAAGTACTGCGAGACAGAAACACTGGTAACGAGGTTCGACGAATACCTAGTATATATCCGACGACCAGTCACCACTATGTGTGACAAATGACCTATATACTGTCTAGAGACACTTGTGACCACCCTTGATGCCAAGCTATCAGTTCACCCACTGAACAGTGCACCCACTGAAAAGCTACAATTACCCACTGATGATTACCCACTGGATAACTATAAGTTACCCACGGATGAGTTCCCACTGTATAAGCATATATTACCCACTGGATGAGTACCCACTGGATAAGCTATAGTTACCCACTGGACGAGTGCCCACTGGATAAGCTATAGTTACCCACTGGACGAGTGCCCACTGGATAAGCTATAGTTACCCACTGGACGAGTGCCCACTGGATAAGCTATAGTTACCCACTGGACGAGTGCCCACTGGATAAGCTATAGTTACCCACTGGATGAGTACCCACTGGATAAGCTATAGTTACCCACTGGATGAGTACCCACTGGATAAGCTATAGTTACCCACTGGATGAGTACCCACTGGATAAGCTATAGTTACCCACTGGATGAGTACCCACTGGATAAGCTATAGTTACCCACTGGATGAGTACCCACTGGATAAGCTATAGTTACCCACTGGATGAGCTACAGTACTGTGCTGAGATGAAGCAAGCTACATTGTACACGCACTGTGTGATGGCGATATAAGCCAGTTCCCTCTTCTTGCTGTTGTCCACCAGCGACAGCCCCACGGCACTCAGCCCCAGCAAGACCTCCACCTGGGGTCTCGAGTACGACCCCACGACCTTGATCCTGTCAACAGTCTCCAGGAACGGTGTGAACAGGACGACCCGCTGGATGCCACTGATGAAGGACTTCCAGTAGGCTCGAGAGGCAGAGCGACCCTCAACTGCACCCACGACCCCGTCTCCTCTTGAGGTGGACGCGGAGCTGATACTCGACGTGTCACTGTCTGCAGAACATTACATAATCCCGTAGAGTATGAAATTTCATTGGTGCAATTATTGTAGCACCAAAATGTTTGCAGTCTTAAAAGTTCAAAAATGTTCCCCAATACTTCACACATTCATGACATATATTATCTTAGTACGAGTCTCAAAAAGAACTATTCATTATGCCAGTGTTTCTGAATGGTAAAATCAACCAACTTGGGTAATGATTACCCCACTTGTTGGTGTCTATTGATGGGTGCTACACCTGCATTTTAGAGGTCTCTTTATTGCACAGCAGTAATCTGCTTTGCTTGTCCCTGCCTCCCTTCTAGTAATCTACACATGACCACCAGTAATCTACACACAACCACCAGTAATCTCCAGTAATTTCCAGTAATCCACCACCACTCACTACTGTCGTCGGGGGAGACCAGTCTCTCGGAGAAGTTCTCATCCACGTCCACCCAGTTGTCATCCATCCAGAAGGTCGAGGAGCCAGCGGCCGAGGAAGAGTCTCCAGATCGAATACGGAACATCTGCTGGTCATTCTGGAGACAAAACCACACCCACTAATTAACTGTTTGCACAAGAATGAATTATACACTGCACAGTCTTTGCGACTATCTAAATCTCAGATAAATTCTGTCCCTTACTCTGGACTCTGGACAACATGTCCTAAACCCACTCATAAACTGGGACACTTTCTCTCATATTCCAGAGCCAGAAAATTTCGAGGGAGAACAGGACAATTTCACTGAGGAAACTTTAACACACGAAGCACATGTATATGGCCTCCTTCAGATAGCTAGAACGAATCCGAAATTCATTCCTGCTAAACAGCATCAGCTAAATTCTAGTGCTAAATTGAACCAGAGGACTTGAGGCTATCTGTTTCTCTCAACGTAGCAAAAAGTATGAAAACGAGACCATCTTCACGGGAGGCTAGGCTGCGGCTAACCTTGTCGACAAAGATGTGTTTTGGATCTTTGACTCTGAGGCTGAGGAGTCCCCAGCGAAGAGCCCGCCGGTCGTTGGGGTGGTCCCACGTGTAGAACACGGTCTCTCCAGGCTCCAGAGTGTATATCGTTCCCTTGGACTGCCTGCAGGACACACACAGTACGGTACTCATGCATACATGAACAAAATACACCATGTGATGCCGAGAGAAAAAAGATGGGAGCTCTGGACAGCTGTTTCGGGCTGGTTGGCCCTCATCAGCAGAGCATACCACAACTTCTCTCTCTGGCACCACGAGTTATAAATGCACGTGAGAGGAGAATTGTGTTGTGTTGTATTGTGGTATAGGTCAGTGGTAGAGCACTCATCTAGAGAACGGAGCGTCCTGGGTTCGAGTCTAGCCTAGGGTACCTATTCTTTTCGTGTTGCCCTGGGTGTAGTTGAATCACACTTGCCCCGTGTCCTGATTCACGCACACACGCACACACACACACACACGCCCACACAATGGAGAACTTTTTCTGGATGATTTGAATGACAATTAGATTTGCTTCCCTTCATTTTGGTGTGCACTTTCTAAACTCCAAGGGAGAAAATTTTCACCGTTTGTGAGAACCACCCACAAAAAATTAGTAAGCTTCTTTCAACTAAAATACAATAGGCGTGGGGAGCATGTGTACTTGGCATCCTGCATGAACTGAATGGTGACATCAGGGAAGTGGTTTATGATCTGTACAGGCACGCAGCCAGGGTAGTAGGGAGTGAAGCTGGTGATAATGGCCGACTCTGATTCCTGGATATCCACACACACTACCTGTATCTAGAGGACCAGGGAAGGAGGGAGGGAGGGAAGGAGGGAGGGCAAGAGGGAGGAAGAAAGTGAAGAGGGAGGGAGAGGAGGAGGTTTGTGAAGCCATCTCCAGCCACATATGTAGAATCATGAAGTCACGTCAAAGAAACAAGCATGAAAATAATACAACATACCTCATCATTAAGTATGAGACAGAATAGAACGTACCTCATCATTAAGTTTGAGACAGACAGTGTCTGGTCTCTTGTAGTTGAAGACCACGGCCTCCTTCCCAAGTCCCGGAGTGAGTCTCAGCTTACTTCCGTCGGTCACAGGCCAGAACGGGACCAGCTATACAATCACACAAACCCAGGCCTAACACCACTTCCACACAGATACACCACACATGCCACTTCCACGCACGTCGTAACTACTCAGCTTTATACGCAGGGGAAACTTTTGAGGAGAAAGATCTTTGCAAATTCGAGGTTTGATAGGGGCTGAGCCCCAATCCAAGAAAATTTTCAGCGTTAACTTCCACAATCGAACCAACTTTGTTCATTTTCAACGTGTGCCTATTACGACATACGCACCTCTCCTGGTGGTAGCAGTATTATATTGTGGGGATCGGCAGTTTCGGCCACGTACAGGTCAGTCTGCAGCAAAGAAGACAACCTAGTGTTAAAAGTGTGCGTGTGTGTGTGCGTGTGTGTGTGTGTGTGTGCGTGCGTGCGTGTGTGTGTCTACCTCAGTTTCATTGACCAACATGTAGTAAGGAGAAATGTTGACAATCTTTGTAAGTGTGAACTGGGATAGATGGGCCTCCACTCCAAACTATAGAGCAACGAAAGAAGAGTTTGTTCATTCATATGCGAGAGAGAGGAAGAGAGGAAGAGGGGGGATGAGGGAGAGGGCGGAGGAGGGAAAGAGAGGAGAGGAGAAGAGGGCAACTGTAGAGGGTACAAGAGAGAGAAGGGAGGGACGAGAGGAAGGAGGGTACAAGAGAGGAGGAGGGGGGGGCGGAAGAATGATGGAGGAGGGACAGACAATGTAGAGTTCTTGTCCATAGCGAGCGGGAAAGTTTCCACTGGTGCCCACGGCATTCAGAGAGAACTTGAGAGTCCAGTCAGTCAGCTTGCCGGCGTTTGTCCTGGTCCTAATTTGGATCTGTGTGACGGCAACAAACGCAACCAGTGTATACATTCACACTATGACAAGTGTGGTGTACAGACATTGTTCTTGGGGTTACTGGTGGAGAGAAGAATGAGAGATTTGCTCGATGGATGCTTGATAGCTTTCCCGTCAACCTGCAAGGAAGAGAGCCCCATAACTATGTCCTCCTCTCTCTCTCCTTCCACCCTCTTCCTCTTCCCTCTTCAAGCTCACCAGATATTCAATGTCTCGTCCAGTCTTGTTGGTCATCCAGTAGGGACTGAAAATGCTCACTTTGTGGTAGCCAAGGTCATCCGTCAACACATTCAACACCTGCACACAAACCATAGTTTTATGATTGAAAAGCTGAAAGTGAAATATGAAACAGTTTTGTGAACTCACACAGCATCATTAGAGTGTGTGCCGACTATGCATGTGAATGTATATATACAGCTTTGAGAGAAGATAAATGGTAGATGTTTGTGATTGTTGCCTACAGTTTGACCCTGGTGCAGTTTTGGCTGCAAATTGTCACGCAGAACTCACGACAGACGTGTTGTTGGAGGAGACTGCAAATTCGGAGTATTTCTTGGGGTTCTTGACCAGCCGCAGCTTCCCCATTAGACTGTCCTCCTGCGGCTGTGTGTGGATTACTTGTAACACCTCCCTCTCAATGACATACTTACATTATACTAGAACAGAGACAAGGTAGGCTAGGCTGGCAGGCCCAGAGCTACATACATACATACATACACACCACAGGAGCCAGCTATAATAGCTGTATGTTCTCTCGTGATTCTTACTGGATTTTGCCTGTCGCTCTACCCAAGCCCTTCCACAGAAAGCTACAGTCGGCAAAGAGACTGTGACACCAAAGGTGCTTGGATATTTAATTCCACATGAAATTTAGGCCATACTATGGGTACAAATTAAAGACTCTCACTCTTGTTAAAGTGACAAGGAAATTAGGTTTTGGTCGTGGAGTAATTACTGTGTTTGTAGCTATTCCTCTCACCAGAGACACAGAGATGGTAACGTGTGGCTCCCGGTCAGGTGCGATTCCGTGGCAATGTATAAATTCTCCTGGCTTTATGGGACAAGTAGACCAGTTCACTCCCTGCCAGACAATGAGGGGGAGAACCCTGCAATTAGCTGGAGGGGGACAACGAGCAACGCACTATGTCTCCGGCGCTGATGGTGAACGGGAGGAGGTTTTGGAGGAGGAGAGGGGGATGGAGGTGGAAGATGTGGTGAGCGAAATCTTCGGTCGGTAGCTCTCGGCGGCTTCCGTAGGTCTCTTCCTCGTAGAGAACTCTAATGAAGTGGCACGGCTCGGAATCACCTGGAGCATGCAACGTCAGGAATAGTTGAAAACTTGTGAGAGAGAGAGAAATGAGAGAGAGAGAGAGATGAGAGAGAGAGGGAGAGAGAGAGAGAGAGAGATCTCTCGCTATTCAATGGCAGGAGTTGAACTTAGGCACAGCTAGGTACATGAAACTTAGTTCCCCAGCCCTGAGCTACAACAAGGTATGAAAAACGTTTGCGGATGTGTTTCTAATCCTCAGGGGATACTTACCGGGAACAGCGCAGCGGGAGTCGACGTACCTCCCACCAGGTCGTTGAAACCAGGCGATCGGAGGTCCCAGCGGATCCAGCCTACATGGAAACAGAGAACAGAAGATGGTGGTTTGGCCAAGCAGTGGTAATACGGAGAAATCGTCAAGTTTTGAGAGCCAACGGCAAAATATTTTGGGTAAAAATCGTGGGTGGGGACCATTTATTTTTCACTGCATTTGGAAGCTTTTTCTCCCTCAAAAATTTCCCGCCACTCACCCAACTTCAGCAGGCACCACGTAGAAGACGTGTTGCTGGGACATCTCTATGGGAACCGGGAAACTCTCGTCGGCTGGTACGGTGGCCACCTTTGACCTCTTGTCTCGCGACATCTCCGGTGCAGCCAGAATATCAACATTGATCTGGAGATGGTTCTGGAACTGCGCGGGAGAAGGGGGAGGAGGGAAAATTGAAAGAAAGAGTGAGTGTGTCTAAAGCCCAGTAAGTACTGGAGTGAGAGGTGCACAAACGTAAGCCTCGATAGGAGTTTGAATTCCCTGAAATGCAGTAGTTTTTGCTAGTGACTCTGAAAGCCCCAGCCAACCTCTGCTACCTAGAAGAGTCTTTCATCTTCTTAACACAAGAGTTTTTGCTATTTTTAACAGAAGATTCTTTGCTCTTCTTAACACAAGAGTATAGGGGAGCATTATATAGAGGTTTCATATTATAGAGAGGGAGGGAGGGAGAGGTAAACCTGGACAGGCGAGCGAATGGTGACCGTCTTCTTGTCCCCGTAACTGCAACATCTATCACCACTCCATAGTGAACCGGCTTGGGGGACGGCTACAACAGAAGAAACACCATCACATCACCACAAGATGAGGACCACCACCCATATAGAACTGGTTGTTACGAACCTTCTTGAGCTCCAGGGGAAAGTAGAAGCAGCCAGGATTGTTGATGACAACTCCACCCAGAGGCTTGAAGTTCCCAACCTTTAGAGAGACAGGGAGGGTATGTGGGGTGAAGTAAGAGAGTGAGAGAGAAAAGCCCATAGTACATATATTGAAGCTACATACATACAATGTAGCCAAGTGTATTCAGGGAGAGAAAAGTAAACTCATAGGCAATAAAAACTTTTTGGATATTTTAACAGTCCCCTAACTGCGTATGTACGTACAAAATGGTCCCCAAAAACAAAATTTTGCGAAGAAAATACGTATTTCACAGATCCACGAATTCTTCCATTTAAACTTCCCACTATAGCATGTCTCAACTTGGGAAAGGCAAGGCAAGGTAAACAAGTCAACTACACCCAGGACAGCTCTTTGAAAAGAAGAAGAGTTGCCGTGGGTGACACACACATACGTAAGTCTTCAACTGCTGTTGTGTTGTTGGCCGTTGCAACCTGGTGTTATGTATGACACACGCTAGAGAGTGGCTCACAGCAAGGTTGACTACATGTTCTTCTTCTCCAGGCTTGACGAGGAGAGAAGCATAGGACTTGCTACCTGTCTCCCTCGCGAACCAGAGATCAGCCGATTCGTTCATCCCCAACTTGACGCTGTCTTTTCTCTCCCTCAGCTGGTGGAATGGAAACACGGGGAACACGCAGAACGGAAGAACGGGGGTATGGAAACATGTACGTACGTCATAAATGCAGGTAATAGAGCAAATACCTTAAGAGTTGTTCCAGGCTGGACAAAGGCAGAAACAGAACCACCGAGCTGCAAGAGACAAGTAGGATTCACTAAAAAATGGACGCTACAAGAAAAACTTTCACATAATTTATACACCGACGTACATCTATAGAGTGGAATCCCTCTATTACGACATCCCTGAAATGAGGACACTTACGTACTTCCCCCAAAAAAGTTCTTGCATTCATTTTAACCCCTGAAGTAACTAATATCCTCTCTCCCACTGGTGTCTAAAGGGTTCCTAACACATGTGTAATGTATTGTGGAGATGGAGCTAGTATATACCTTATTGATGATAGTGAAGGGGGCTCCAGTTAGAGTCTTTACGTCAGCACTGATACCCAGCTTCCTCTCATACTCCTTTGTATAGGCCTACATTATGGCCGGGCAAACAGAAGGTACTTCATTCAACCCTTGCCTTCTCCATACACATTCACCATACATACATTCTCTGCTAGTATTGGACTATGTGACATTCACAATAGATCTTCATACATACATTCTCTGCTAGTATTGGACTATGTGAGGCATTGCAATTATAACACACGTGTATGGATCTACATACACTGCATGGACCTGTATGTACTTACGATAGGGACTTTGGGAACTCGTTCTCTTGCTTGCCACACCTAGTGATGTCCATACTAGGCACAATTATTGCCGAAGCTACTGCGTCACTACAGTCTATGTGTACATATGTAGTAATCATGTACGATTGAAAGAAGCTGTGGCATAGCACTTAGTGTGTTAACCTTGACGAGGGACTTGAGTAGTTCCAGAGAGGTCTTGGTGAGGGTGAGTTGGAGAGGAGTCTTGGCAGAGAGGCTCACAGAGAGGTTGGCCTCTCCTCCACCGGTGTCCTCTGCCTCGTCCTCACCCACTGCCGTCTTGTCAGGAGCCCTCTTCGTAACCTGTAGACATGTGACCAAACCCTTACTGCAAGGGTTAAAGTGCAAAACCTCGACACAAAACGCACCAAATTTCGCTAGCTATCCCCCCTATATAAGGGTGTCGACAATTTTGCATTTTTATAGGCACAAGAGTGGGCAAAGAGACAAACCAACTATCCTTAATACTTCTACTAAAGTTGTAGTATGGAACGGTAATGTCTTCTATCTCGCTGCACCTATCCCTATCTTGCCCAACTTTCGCTAGCTATCCCCCCTAAATAAGGGTGTCGACAATATTATGGCACAAGAGTAGGCGAAGAGACAAACCAACTGTCCTTAATATAGTTGTTAGTTCAGTTCTTTCATGATGTAAACCGTGATTAAGAACCGCTCAACCAGAGTTGATCCACAGTAACCTCACCTCAGCTGTGAGGCACCACGGCTGCAGTCTCCCAGTGTCAAGGTCCTCCAGAGGCTCCAGCAGTGGTTCCCACATCGACAGCTTCTCGTTGTAGTAGGACGCCTCGCAGCGTACCTTGGCTTTCACATTCAGCTGCCAGGTGGTGGAGAATGAGAAGACTTAATAAAACACCTACTGATGCAGGTACGTACGTATGTACTTTTGTGTGGAAAAACTTTGTACTATGTGTGAAATTTTTGAGAGAGAAAATTTACGTACAAGCAGTAAAACCTTTACTGTAGACCAGTAAATTTTGGGAGATATCAGTAAACTTTTGAGGAACAAATTGTTTGAGGTTTACAAGCTACTTTCTCCATGTTAAGTTAAATCGAGGCATTCTGTGAAAATGATGCCAAATGAATTCTCACAAATGATTCTTCCTCAAAATATTTTCTCGCTGTACTCTTTACACTATACGAGGAAGTGAGGGTGTGGTCTTTTACGTACGTCTCCAGTCCATTCTGAGACGTGGGCGTCTGCTGAAACATTGACGGCAAGAATGGGGTACCCTCGAGTCCGGGCAGTTCCTTCGCTCTCCAATATCACCTCGACGCACTCTCAACTCTCATTGACAGCTGAGCAAAAAAGATAAGTGTGAATGGTCAGCAGTGACGATAAAAAGATTGATCTCAACTATCGTTGATAACTGAACAAACTAACTAATATGTGGTAAAGACAGACACTCATACGTATGTACTGTTGCCTCTAGCTGTCTGCAGTGCTCTTGATGCGTGATCTATGCATATGTAAAGACCGAGACACTATATACGCATGCGTACTCCATATATCCTATAAATAATATCGTATAATTAGCATAGAGAGAGCCCACGTGAGGCCAGTCTAGCACTAGCCAAGTCTAATGGCAGCTGTATCGTATCTATTGAATGTGCTGAGACTCGTAAGAAAGAGAACAAGACCCTAGCTGGTAGAAGCCAGGGGCAACGCAAGCGCTACTGGTGGCGAGTCTAGAAACTACGCGCATTAGATAGCCGCGGGAGTCTGAGCTGTCAGCATTCAAGCACTAGATGGCTGTCGTATCATTCACTGCAGGCATTTACTCCGTCACTCACCATTTCTCCTTTTCTTGCTGTCTCTGCAACTTTTTCCACCTGTGTCTTGTACAGTGGAGCTGTTGAGAAAGCATAATTATAGCCATAGTGTTGACTCATTAGTAAAGGGGGCATGGAGACAAGAGTTACATAAGTGAAGGTTCTACATACGACATCAGTGATGGATCTAAATACCTGGTTTGAGAAACCAGAAACGCTGTCCTTCGATCCTCTTCTTCCCCCAGAGATTGGGAGGAGCTACCTGCTTCTGAATCTTCTGCTCAGACATCACGACCGATAGAGAGAAAGAGAGAGAAAGTGGATGAATCTACCTCAGAATTTTAGAGTGTATACTGATGTTCTGCTTTAGGCTGCTGATTTGTAGTGATGTGTATGTGTAAAGCTGTATCTAGGCTTGCCAATAATTACAATTATTGTGTTTTTAAGTTTCGGTGGCTGTGGACGGCCAAGAAGCTCTTTGCTGCAAAACTTGACTTACAGTGTAACAAAACTGAAGCAGCAAAACTACAAATCACATAAAAGCAAATATTATTTCACAAACATGATCGATTTGGTAAGCACAAGAGTGTTTTGATTAAAAACACAAAAATGATTTCACGATTTGATATTTTTAGTCACACGGTATGGGGCAAGTACGGACTAGGTATTCAGAAGACAGACCTTTTGAGGAATGAGGCTCGTGATGGCGTGGATGAGTGAGACGGACAATGGAGGGAGAGAGGGCTAGAGTTACGGCCTCGACAGATCCATTGATGTCCATTGCAGGCTTGTCCACAGGACCAGACATGGTCAGGCTGAGAGAGCAAGGGAATAGGATCTGGGGAAGGGGTGGCAGTTGGTAGGGGAGGGAGGGAGGGTGGAGGGAGTTAAAAGAGTACAAGAAGGTAATTATAAAGATGGTATAGAAAGTAAGTAGTATTAAGGATGACTGTCATTCCACTCATGCACTTGCTCGTCAAAAAGCCTTCAGTACGTATGTAGTTCAGGCATGGATTAACTGAAATATTTACCCACACAAAACTGCTGATCCATGAAAATTCATAAGTTGTTTGTCCCTCTCATAATATATACTGGCACCCCTTGCTTCCAAGCTGGCTGGCTAACTTAGTGTTTGCTACCATCACAAAGAGAGACAGATATATGTGTGTATGTAAATGACTGCAGTCACATAAAACAAAGTTATTACCAGGGAAAGACGGGCTACTGCGGGTGCAGTAGAGTTCAACTAACTATGCATGTGTCCCTACTATACCCACCCATTTGCTGACGTGGTCCAGGTCGAAGAAAGTGCTGGCTGCGATACTGATCTCAGCAACGTTGACGGATGCCGTTTTGGCACTCTCAGTCAGTCCCAGATGGATATAGGCAGTCTTCAGCTGAAAAACGTACAATATAATGGTGCTTTTATACACTACAGGCTATTCGTTCCAAACCAAACACTAATTAGTCATGATGTTTACTGCCAATAGAGAAAGGAGAGGGAGAACTAGTGCTAAGGCTATGAGGTATAAAAATACACTGCTTCAGTTCCGAACTTTACTTATCTGGGCACACAGCTGTTTGAAAGCATTCAGATACAGTACAGTTAGGTAAGAAGAGAGAGAAATGAGAGAGGGGGAGAGGGAGGGAGGGAGAGAGAGAGGAAAAGACAAAGAGAGAAGGAAAGGACAGAGGGAGAGAGAAAGAGGAAGGAGAGGAGGCTAACCCTGAGGGTTAGAGCCTGAGGGTCCTCCACATCTTCCACAATGGCCACCCTGATGTTAGAGAAACTGGCCTCCACTTTGAGTATCGGCATCTTCTTGGCAGGTGTCGGTCGATCCAGCTCTCCTCCTTTCTCAATCACAGGCGAGCCAACTGCATACACACCAACAGATTCTCTCCCCTCTCTCTTCTCTCTCTTCCTCCCTCTCCTCTCCTCTCTTCTCTTCTCTTTTCCTCCTCTCTTCCTCTTCTCTTCCTCTTCTCTTCCTCTTTTACACATACTTTACCTGACATGATGCTGGATTCAACTGAGCTCTCCGATAGGGACATCTGCGCATCGTCCTTTCCCAAAATAGCCTGCGACGTTAATGACGTAATAGCTTGATCTAAAAATAGAATGGGTCTAGGTGGTATCTAACCTGAAAGTGGTTTGACAGTGTTGTGAGGAATTGGATGTCGCTCAAAACCAGAATATTCTCCGCTTTCAGTATCACTGCACGACAGTAGTAACACATCAATTTCAGAGAGAAGAGAGAGAGAGCAGAGTGAGGCGGGGAGGGACAAATGAAATGAGTGACAGACAGATTTAAAGGGATGAAGCGGTTAGAGACAGAGAGATGTTAGGAGCTTCTGGCAAACTTTGAGAAAGTGAGGACAGTATGAAAGCGTAAGAGGAAAGAAGGAGAGAGAGAGAGAGTACGTATATGTCTGGACGAAAGAACACAAAACAAGAACTCTGTAAAACAGACAGACCGATGTGCTGGCCGTCCCTGAGGAGGTAGGATATCTTGACAAGAGGTGTGTCCAACTTGCCCGTGTACGGCAGCAGAGGATTGCTGGTGTAGTGCTGGACCACGCGGGTCCTGCAGTGGGAATATCACGCACACCGTAAAAATCGCTCCGCGAAAAACGGACAGGTTGTTTCCTGACCAGCTTCCCACAGTGTGGGGAACCAATAGTGGAATAATTTGGCAAATCCAAATTTGAGTGTTTCCCCACTAGCAACTAGAATCAAAAATTGAAAAGCTCGTACATATGTTTATTACTGCACAAATTAATGGTGATAACCTCCCGTGATTCCATAGCGACAAACGGCAGGTACGTATATAAGAGCACGGCGCGATAAGGAAAATATGTGCAAAAGGCGGAAAATTTGCTGCCTGCGTTCGGACTACGTTAGAATCAACATGTACTAGACACTGATGTTGTACTGACCCAGTTTTCTTCTGCTGCTGGTCGGGCTGCTGATCGCAGAGCACCATGTCCTTGAGGCTGGCCTGAAGCTCCACCTCCTCGTTAGAGAGTACCGTCACACCTAGTTGCATCTGCAGCAGCTGGAGACTGGCCAGACTGTAGCTATCTCTCACCACCACTGAGTCAGGGTTACTAGCACTCTATGAGGAGAGATAGAGGGCATGTCTCAACAACTTGGTAATGAGGTAGAAAGGCAAGGCAAGGCAACTACACCCAGGACAGCTCTTAGAAAAGAAGAAGAGTTGCCCTGGGTGGGATTCGAACCCACGACACTCTGCAGTCTAGGCGAGCGATTACTCAAGAAACCTTCTCTGAGTCCTCACCAGAGGTGGCTCGTCTTTGAAGAGCTTCAGTTCAAAGAAATTGAGAGAAGAGGACACCTTGACCATGTCAGTGACCTTCTTGTCCCGTCCCTCCCTCTCTCCCCTCCTCTCCTCCTCGCCTGCCGTTAGTCCCTCCATTATTGCTCCTCCCACCTCCGACCCTCCACTCCCACCTAGTAGTCAAACAACCACACATTTGTGTAGGACCTATAATATATGGCAGCTAGTGAGAAAATTCTATATTTAAATTCTTAGGATTATTTGCACTGCAAAGTCAATGTTTAGTTAAGCTGTTCAAGACGGTCAGTCAGCTTGCTTGCTAATCGTTCCTCTCATTGACTTTCTCAAAGTACCAAAAGGTTTAGTCCACCCTATTTTCGACATATGATTTGCAACGCACACTCTGGCTTTAGTCAATGTATTCAGGACTGTTGGTTGGTACCCTGCTTGCTATTCTTTGACAATCACGCCTTTGGAATATATGCACTGCACTCTCTAGCTATAGTCAATGTATTCAGGATGGTTGGTTGGCCTGTCCTTTCCCCCACTTGCTTGCTAAAAGTACGAACGTTAAGGCTACCCTTGGCACTATATGGTATACATACATATGTAGCTTCAACACAATACCTTTCTCAATGACACCGGAGAGACTTTTTCCAAAGTTCTTCCCAAGAGCCACCAGTTGTTGCAGGTCCTCCTGCCCCACCAGCAACTGAGGAAGATCCATTAGTTATACACTGCTTCAATCACCAATACTTTCACCTCTATTAACAGATTGTAACCAAGGCAACAGATAGTGACCAAGGTAACGGACCTTGAACTCTCCCATCTGGCAGTTGAGTGAGAGGGTGGGTCTCTCAGAGTACCAGGCACTGCAGAGATTCCTCTCCAGAGCCAGCTGGATGTGGAACGGCTGGAACAACACTCGTTCACACAGGACCTTGTAGTCTCCCTCCACGTCGATCAGGACCCTGAAGGGGAGCGGGTAGGTAGGTCACAATGAAGGACACATGCATACACAGAGTACAGTGGACGAGCTAGTAAGCATGCTGGTGGGTACACTGGGTACGTGGAGCATAGGAGGCATCCCAGGCTCATTAGCTAGGTACAGAATGCATGCTAGGAACACTGACACAGACTACTATTCTGTATGTACGTATATACCTCGAGGCCTTGAGAGAGTCCAGGTTTATCCCGTAAGCCTCGACCCCCGCCCCCTCGTCCAGTGGGAGGAGCATGTTCCTGACGGAGACGGAGCCCAGGTCCACCATGAAGGCCTGGGACGAGGTATCGGAGACCGGCAGAATGAGGACTGGGGCGTGGGCTGCCACGTCTATGGTCAGGTACTTGTCCCATGCCTTGAGAGAGAGAGAGAGAGAGAGGGATAGAGAGAGAGAGAGAGAGAGAGAGAGAGGGAGAGAGAGAATTCTGGTGAGAAGATAAATGCAAAAAACCTGCTTCCTATAAGTAGTATGGGCTAATCAGGGGATGCATGTGATAGCATTTCGGTATCAAACGTGTGAATTTGACAAAGAAAAGTTTCGCTGATTGATGGTCCTGCAATGCAGATTTCCCCACAATGCAGAAAATTCCAGACAGAGATTCAAGTTTTTCAACTAATCACCTTGCTAGTGATAGCTTGAACTCCTCCCTTGCTCAATTTGGCAGCGTTTATGACCAGCTCAGAGTTGACTTCCTTTAGTGCCAGAACAAACTCCTGTGTGTACATGTACATGTACATGATGGATCATGGGTCAAACAATACACTAAAGTATTAGCATGGGGTTGAAACAAGTAGAGAAGTCGTCCCTATCTCGAAAGTAATCAGAGTCATCACAATTGGTGTCTGAATTAGAGGGGTTCCACTGTACTATTGGTGTCTGAATTATAGGGGTTCCACTGTATTATTGGTGTCTGAATTAGAGGGGTTCCATTGTACACATTACCAGCAGCTGTTGTATGAAGTGAGGGGGCAGCATCAACTTGACTTGAGCGATTCGTGTCTTGACCTCCCCCAGTGGGTCCAGAGATCCTCGCTCTGACCTCGTGTCCAGTTTCAGCTGAGAGAAGGAAAAACAACAAAACTCAAGTTTCAACATCGATACAATAGCTCCTCAGTTTTAGTCACAGCTTTACAATACAAGAAACTTGCATTTTACTTTCCAATTGCAAAAAAGCTGCCGTTCATGCGTTTGACATGCGTTTAGCGTAACATGATCTGGAAGAAAAATAGCTCTAAAACATTGTCCGTGCTCAGTCCGTATGGCTGCAAATATTGCTAATACACTCTGGAGATTATGGTACTTGCTTATTCAGTTTCAATATCGTTAGGGGTTTACTACCTCTAGTGAGGAGGCCTTGTCGGTGTCCTCGGCAAGAGATACAATCTTCTTCAGTTTGTCTTCTCCGCTCGAGTCCGTCACACTCAGACTGTCGACACTACACAACAACAACAATAAACAACAAACAGCAGGACGATGTATACAATAGTATACGTTGTAACTAACCTGGCCTTCACTTTCACCATTTCTTTGTATACTCCGACGCTAGCCATCACATCTACAGTAGAACATTATTTTTATTTACATGTAATTGTGAAATCATACGTTTTTGATGCAAAATATCTGTGGCACTATATGATTAAGCAAGTCTGTACTAAATTGAGGTACATATATACACACGTGTCATTGTAGTGTTAAACCTGAAGATATGGCACTGAAGAGTGGACCTCTTCTTGTGGCAAAGTCGAGAGATATGAAATGAAGACTAGCTTTAACTCTGACCTCGACTACTTCAGTCACTGATTCCATCCTCGCCACTGTATCAGACAGGGGTGAGAGGGAGGAGGAGAGAGAGATGGAAGGAAGAGAGGGAAGGAAGAGAGGGGGAGAAGAGAGAGAGGGAAGGGAGAGAGGGAAGGAAGAGAGGGAGAGAGAGAGGGAAGGAAGAGAGGGAGAGAGAGAGAGAGAGGAAAGGAAGAGAGGGAGAGAGAGAGAGGGAAGGAAGAGAGGGAAGGGGGGAGTGAAGTGTCACGTGTACATTAGAGAAACCGAGGCTAACATTTGGCGGGATCTGGTACCGCACCGGGACGCTGGAGGGGAGGGGAGCCTTTTCCACCGTCCTTCTTCACATCTGTCACACACGAGAGAGACACACATCACAAACCCGAGCTACACGTTTGAGACATTCTACATACCTGTGGATGGTTGCTGGTCTGGGGAGAGGACCTGCGTGACTTTGGTGGCCGACAGAGCTATGGTGATAAGTGCCTTCACGTCCTCCTCGTGGAGATGAAACTGAGACAGTTGGAGGGAGGAGGCTCGTAGCTCAAGACACGCGTATCGGAGCAGTGCTAATGGCTGTATTAAAGCGAATGCGACAGCTAGCACAAGCCTAGGACACAAGTACAAGTCAATCCGGGCCGCCAAAACCTTTCACTACACTACATTACCATGCACACCTACGGAGCAGCTCAGTAGTATATAAGAATACGAGTGTAACACCTTGACAATGCCCATGGGGAGGTTGATGTCAACGTTGGGTAGAGATAGCAGAGGATTCCCGAGGTTACGTGTGATTGTAGCCGTGAACTGCACTGGCTCCAGGATCTTCAACGAGGTTTGACCTGGTTTAATGCCCGCCCCACTGGTAGATGACCTGTGTTTTTGGTGGATATAGAGGTGGGGGAGGGAGAAAAGGGAGGTGGGTGGAAATAGAGGTGGGGGGGGAGGGAAAAGAAGGAAGGGAAATGGAAGAAGAGAGGTAGGGAGCAAGGCAAAAGAGAGAGAGTCAGAGGGAGGAAGAGATAAAGTGAGGGCAGCAGAGAGAGAGCGGTACGTAGGAAGCAAGAGAGGAGGGGAGCGAGACAAAACAGAGATACGAAGGAAAAAGGAAGAAATCGCAAGTGAGGCGGAGGGTTCTCTCTGGACCTGTGGATCTCTATGGCAGTGGACTGTATCTCCATCACATCAAATGTGGTCAGGCCCCGCCCACCACCGATGGTCTGTAGCGGGCTAAGCAGGGACTCTCCGTGGACAAACCGGTTGTGAACCTGTTGGACACACACACACACACACGTAACACAAGTCACACTCATTTTACGGGGGTATATATATACAGACGTATAGTCTTAACTAAACACCCAGCTAGTGTCCCAAAGACTTTCAGTTCAACGAGGTTTCTAGCCAAAGCTATTTACAAAAACAGTTTTTTAAGTGTCAGTAAAAAGTAGTAAAAACGAGGCTGCACACTATGCACCTATAGAGCAGGCTAAGAAAGTAAAAGGGTGACACCCAAAAAAGAAAAACTTTTTAAGTGCATCTTTTTGCTCTATAGACGATGATTTTCTGATAAGCACAACTTACATGGAAGCGTCCAAGGTCAATAGCAATGCTTCCTTGGCTGTTCTTGATGGTATATGGCAATAGAATGAGTGGTGCGTGGAGAGTCAGGTCCAGTTTCACTCTATGAGCTGTTTTCTCACTTTCTCTGATGGCTGCGGCCTGTGGGAGGGAAGAGAGAGGAGAGGGAGCAAAAAAGAGAGGAATGATAGAGAGAAGGGAGGGACGGGAAGATAAAGAAAATGGGAGGGGGGACGAGAGGAAGGAGAGACGGAGGAGGGGAGAGGGAGAGAGAGGAGAAAGTCTGAAGAAGGAGGAGAGGTGTATGGTGGCTCACAGCAGCGGTGGCAGTATCAGCAGTGGCCCGTGCAGCCAGTTTTAGGGCATTCAGGTCCACCTTCAGGGCCTTTGCAAAATCCTATGTACATAGGCAATATTCATTTCAGTTGATGATGAGAGTGGTTTAATCATGCGGCATCTCAGTACGTACCAACTACAGCAATAATTATGCCTGCGTTCCCTACCAAAATTCTGCCGAGGAAAGCTGTGCTCAATTGTACTTTGACCCTCTGAAACTCGGCCCGCAGATCGGTGTCTGTCCAGCCCAGATCCTCGGGGGCTCTCTCTCTGGGAGACAACTTGTACTGAGTCACCTGCAAATAGCAGGACAGGGAAGTAGCTCATGCACGATTCCAGACCATAACGCGTTCTTTGGAAGAAACTATAAAACAGTACAGTGGAACCTTCGAACAAGGGACACTATGGGGCCAGATATTTTGTCCCTTGTATATACAGAGGTCGTCCCTATGTTGGAGTATTAGCATGGGGTTGAAACAAGTGTCCTTTGTACAGAGGTTGGCCCTATGTTGGAGTATTAGCATGGGGTTGAAACATGTGCCCTTTGTAGAGAGATCGTCCCTATGTTGGAGTATTAGCATGGGGTTGAAACAAGTGTCCTTTGTAGAGAGATCGTCCCTAAGTTGGAGTATTAGCATGGGGTTGAAACAAGTGCCCTTTGTAGAGAGATCGTCCCTATGTTGGAGTATTAGCATGGGGTTGAAACAAGTGCCCTTTGTAGAGAGATCGTCCCTATGTTGGAGTATTAGCATGGGGTTGAAACAAGTGCCCTTTGTAGAGAGATCGTCCCTAAGTTGGAGTATTAGCATGGGGTTGAAACAAGTGTCCTTTGTACAGAGGTTGGCCCTATGTTGGAGTATTAGCATGGGGTTGAAACATGTGCCCTTTGTAGAGAGATCGTCCCTATGTTGGAGTATTAGCATGGGGTTGAAACAAGTGCCCTTTGTAGAGAGATCGTCCCTAAGTTGGAGTATTAGCATGGGGTTGAAACAAGTGCCCTTTGTAGAGAGATCGTCCCAATCTCGGAGGGTCCCTTATTTGAGGTTCCACTGTAGCAGGTAAAGGTTACGACTATAGTGATGATTTCGTACCGTCAGGTTGATCATTTTCTCTTCGGGGTTGGTTTTTGAGACGATCTACAGAATAGCAAATGTCACAACATGTAGTGTAGACCTCTCCTGGTGCGTTACCTTATTGTTGTCAGGGTTGGATTGAGGGTCCTCCACAAGCACATCTTGCATGCTAAAAAGGACACACAAGAGTTGTAACAGTGAGGAAAAGACAAGGCAACGACACCCGGGACAACTCCTTATTTTGAGAATAGAAAGAGCCGTCCTGTGGGATTTGAACCCACAACTCTTCTGATTTCAGAATGCTTTCAGCTAAGGGCAGCTCAAAAGGTAGGGCCCAAGTCTACAACACAGTATATACTAAGGCACACCTCACTAGAACACGTACCTTGCAGTGAGTAAGAGTGCTCCAACTCCATCTTTGCCCTCCACTGAGAACCCTACAACCAATAGCATCTATGATTCTAACCGTAATACCTAATCTCAGTGCAAGTGATCCTCAGGAGTGAATAAAAATAGGATGGCTAAAGGTTTCGTACTTTTAGCAACAAAGTGGGGGAAAGGACAGGCCAACCAACCATCCTGAATACATTGACTATAGCTAGAGAGTGCAGTGCATATATTCCAAAGGCGTGATTGTCAAAGAATAGCAAGCGGGGTACCAACCAACAGTCCTGAATACATTGACTATAGCTAGAGAGTGCAGTGCATATATTCCAAAGGCGTGATTGTCAAAGAATAGCAAGCAGGGTACACTACAGGGTACCAATCACTTAGTGCCATATGTCGTGCTCGGTCTGGCGTTGCGCGAGCGAGAATATCGGCAGCTACTCGGCAGTGAAACTCAATGATTATGGCGAAACGCACACTTATATAGGCAAGATACCGGATATGGGAATGCAATAATGAAAATCATGAAAATCAACCAGTCTGAGTCATTATGATAGTCATTACACATGTACAGTTTACCTGAAACATTGGTGTAGATGACTTGCAGCGTTTTGTGAGCTAATTGGAGGGTTATACCCTCAAATTGAGCGTTAAAGTTCATCTCTTTCCCTTTCTTCTTCTCCGCAATGTTCTCAAAATCGTTGGGATTGACTGCAGAAGCAACAAGCGTCAACGAGGTTGGAAGACCAGTACATGGAAATCAACACAACAAGCTGTCTAATTTGAACCCTCTGTAAACTTACTTGCTGGAGAATTATCAGTAGGTGCGGGAAGGGGTGTGGTCGGAGTGGGTGTGGCTTCGCTGGTTCCCTTGACTGGAGGTCTAAACAAGAGCAAATTGTTGTCTGAATGAAGGATTATTCCATGTGTAACAACGCACTACACATACCATAATTCTAAACACGATTCTAATTTGTGTGAAACAAAAGTGTAAAAAACTGTTCGCTTCGCTTGCCAAATATTCGCTCTAGAATTGAACTGAGTGAAAATAGTACACCTCCAGTCCTGGCAGTGTGGGGTTGAAACAAGTGCCGAGGGTCGGAGAAGCTAGCACCAGCTGACCTGTCAATGGCAGTCTTGAGCTTCGTGCCCATGCTCAGCAGAGAGGCCAGAGTGTCCCGCTGCAGACTCAGCTCCACCAGTGACAGTTGGGCCGACACGGAGTTACTGAATCCAGTGTACTTCTCCGCAAACGCTTTCCCCACCTTCGTCACCTGAAGAACACACAACCCCAGAACATTATACGTAACACGCAATCCCAGAGCAGATGAGAAACGAACAGTCAAATCTTCTACCATAGAGTAGTAAAGTTTCACGAATACCGTGGATTTTGAGAACCAAATTTTGTGGGTGAGGAGTATTAAATCTGTACACCCATCACATACACACACACACACACTCTCAACATTTCCTGGTGTACATACTTATGCAGTATGGTATGCCAATGGCAGGTTAAGTGTCAGTGATGGAAAATAATCATGCTGCAGAGAACACTGCATGCTTTGACTGCGTCAGATGATAACTACCAGTAAGTTGACGTACGGTGATAAACTTGGCAGTAATGAAATTTCCATCACTGAGTCCTTTAGTCTTCAGTAGTACAGTAGGAGCTCCTGCGGGATCTGAGAATGACATGAAAAATAAAAACACCAAACAGGCCTGTTGTCTGCCCCCACACCAGTCTACATTAATCTCAATGTCAAAATCTAAATCAATAAGTGGGATTTGACCCAATTCACTGGTTGATGTGGATCTGACGTCAATTGAGTCTCTGCCATAGAAAACAAACACTGAAGGCCGTACAAAACGATTATTTTCCTACGTGCATCAAGCGAGATAAGTGTCAATTCGACTGTGCGAATACTGTTCCATTCTCCCTCCACCTCTCTCTCCTCCTCACCGAGCGAGATGTGGTCCAGTACCGAGACGTTGCCAATGGTGACGGTGCCCTGTGAGTCCCAGCTGCGGTCGATTACGTCGGCTCTCATCTCCTCCACAGACACGCTGACAAGAGTCCTCTGACCCGAGCCACCTTTCACTACCTCCGTCAGTCTCACACCAATCTAGTCACACACATTTAAATCTGATTGTCGCCAAATGCAAATTTACTCCAACTACACAGTAAAACACACAATGTTCTGCTTGCAAATTTTCACACACATCGGTACAATTCTGTACCCACTGCCAGTATATACAATACATACATTCTTGTGGTATGATAGCGCTTATACTTCAGCCATAGCACTAGAGCCAAGCTGTTGTGTTAGCTTAAAAAGAGCAATAGACACACCAACGTAACTCATACATATGCCACAAACATATACTTACGCATATATAGGTGTATACTTAACCACTACCTTTCTTATGACCACTTGTATCTGAGCATCAGTGAAAATCCTCTCAATGGTTTTACTGTCGTCATCTCTACAGGAAAATGTAATAATAATAATAATATACAGGAGTTCAGTGATGTATATACAGCTAAATACAATATTATAAACTGTACTATAGAGAAGACAGTACATATTGTATTTAGACGACAGTTGAGAGGAAATAAAAGGAGAATTGGAAAAGAAGAGAGGGAGGAAGGAGGGAGAGAGGAACAAAGAAGGAAGGAGGGAGGAAGGGAGGGACGGAGGGAGGGAGGGAGGGAGGGAAGGAGAGAGGGAGGGAGGGGATTACTCACCCTTCAGATGGTGGTGAAGTGCTCCTTGAACGTTGCGAAGTGAGAGAACAAGTCTCCTCTACCCCTTCCTCTTCCTCCTCATCATCATCGTCGTCCAGGTAGCTGGAGAGGGACATGGTGTCCATGATGTCATTGGCCACACCCACCAGCGAGGCAGGTCGGGCTATGGTAGGAGCCTGTGTATATATACAAGGACAGAAGACACTTATAACACTACACAACCAAAACGTATTCAGTATTGAATTGGGCCCAATTACTCGTCAAAACTTATTCGAGCGTGGAGAAAAGGTTCTTCATCAGGGTTTACTAAACGAAGGTATAATATAAGGGAACAGAGTTGGGACTTAGACTAGACAATAGAAGAAATAGAAAACAGTATATAAACCGTGAGCTCTCGGTTACCGGTATGTCGTCATAGTAAGTGGTGTTGTTGGCGAGAGAGGGAGGGGGCAGCTGTAATGACGTCACAATCTTGAGGATCGTCACGACCTTCTCGTCCGATACTGTCACCTCAAATCCTGGAATATCTCCCTCTATCCTCACACTATGGAGGAACAACGTATTGCATAACTGGAAATATTGGGAAAATTGGTGATCTTCACTCTAAATTTTTTGTTTTGTGTTAACAGTGCACAATCATTACCCAAATACTTTTTGAATTCTAAATGGAGCCCAGTTTGGGCCAAAGTTTTGAAATTGGAAAGGAGGTCGAATCTGACCTCGGCAGATATGCGTCTTTCTTGACGATGCTCTGTTTCAACTGCAGCTGTAGACCGGTTGGGTTGAGGATGTGGAGGGAAGATGCTCCCTGAGACTTTGCCAGCTGCCAATCATCACCTGAACCAGGGGTAAGCCCCTTTAATTACTCACACACTAGCAGTAATACAGCCATGGTATATACCTGGTTTAGCGACCAGAACCTGCATTCCTTCTAGTTTGAGAGTGAAGTTGTCGTAGAAACGAGCCAACTGGTCCCCAACCTAGAGAGTTAATAAAAACATTCAGATTTCTTCTCTCTCACCATTTGACCTCCCCAACTCTCTTCGTTCTTTCCTCCCTCCCTTCCTCCCCCTTACCTTCTTCTTTTCTTTTCTCGCCCTCCTCCCCTCTCTCCTTCCCTTTCCCTCCTTCCTCCTCTCTCCTCTCTCTCCTCTCTCTCTCTCTCCTCTCTCCTCTCTCTCTCTCTCTCCTCCTCCCTCTCTCCTTCCCTTTCCCTCCTCCCCCCCTCTCTTTCTCTCCCTCCTCTCTCCTCCCACTCACAGGGCTCTGAGGAAGTGGGCACTGATCTTTCAACTGTCCCCTGGTGTTCCCGGCGATGGAGAGCGTTCCCAGATCCACCACCAGTAGACTGGACCCAGAGCTCAGGTAACCACCCTGTGGTACCACCAGGTAGGGCGAATGGAGAGTCACATCCAGCCTCATTTGCTGCAGGGAGAAAAACACACCAACACTTGTTGTGTGCATCACATTGCCTCATGTAAGTACAGTGTAGTAGGAGGGAAGAGAGCGCACGAGTTTTGTCTATTTTGTGGTGCTAATGCGTAGGCTTGCATGTATACGTATGCAGAAGATCCCTCTGTTCTGCATTACAGAATATTCCTCTGAATGTACATGCAAGTTTATGTACGTAACACAGCCAATTGAAGAGACACGACTTTATCGAAATACACACAGCCCAAAATCAACAGTGTAATGAAAATGGAAACTGCCAGCTATACAACTGAAGCCCAAAGTAAACAAGGATGTGTCCTCAAATGGTTTCTCCGCTTAGAATAATTGATGTAAGGCTACAATTCGCGTGATTCAGCATCCTCTAAGTCTAGTCAATATACCTTCTTGCTCTTGAGGGCATTTTGGAAGCCGGAGCTAGTCTGGTTACGAAGCTCATCCACCGTTGCCGAGGCAGCCCCTGTCAACCTGCGACATAACGAGGATTCAACTGTATTAATGATAACTATGTGTGGCCCAACAGCATCATATAAGGGGTGAATGAACATGATTCCGCAGCAAAAAGACTCACTCTTGAAGATGTATGTTCTTTCTTACTCGAAATGCACCAATGAGGCCGTCTATCGTGTCCTGCAGAAACCAAAACCTAACTATTATTGCAGAGACAATAATTATATGATAAATAAATATCTCAGAGGTTTTGCAGCATTGATATACATAATAATGGCAAACCACTAGGTATAGAGGCTCACTTCACTTGCCAATATCTGTATTCATTGACTCGCCACTAATACAATCTTCATCTAAACTTTATCTCTATACGAGGAACTCACAGCGTCATAAGTGATCTGTAGGGGGCGGAGGGAGGCGCGGAGGTCGAGGTCAAACTCACTCTCCAGCGGATTGAGTTCCAGCTGCAACGTCACAAGCGGGGTCGAGAGGTCAGAGGTCACCGTGGAGAGAATGAGGGTGGGGTCATCGGCAAGTTCGGGGTGGGGGATTCCCCTCATCTCCATGCCGGCCACGGAGGCTGACACACTGCAAGGAACAGTCGTTTGTATGAATAATTATTGTAGCTGGACTATGCAGTACAACTACATAGTTGTCAGGTGCCACTTATTGGGGAAAATAAAGATTGTACTTTTAGCAAGGAAGTAGGGAGAACTGCCCATAGGAGGATGCAGTACAAATAATGCTCAGGAGCGATTGGAAAGTAAGGTGGCCTAAACTTTTCATACTTTTACCGTGAGAGTTGGACGAATGGCAGGCCAATTGAATATCTTGCAAAGCTAGTAGCATTGCAATCCTTATGATAATGGAGTGATTAAAAGATGACTAAGGTGTGAAAATACCTGACAGCCTTGGAAGAAGGCCTGTTGAGAACTGAGGCTACTACTCCGTTTGTTACTAGAGTTGCCAGCCTGGAAGAGAGGTGGAGGCAAAGAGGGGAGGGAGAGAGAGGAGAGGGGAAGATGGATGACGGTGACCAGGAAAGGCACCCAAACTCACTCTTTCTTCCCCGACAGCTCCACCGACAGAGACTTCAGACTCACTTGAATCTTGTGTGCCACGTACTGTCCAGCAGTTTATATTGACCCACATGTTGGACAGATATGCCATTTCATCATCACAGTTTTCTCTAATTACTAACTGTGACTAGTTTAATTTTCTATCGAAAGTTTCTGCTATACTGGTTTAAGAACTATGTTCACAGAGACATGTATATACAATGGCTTTAGAGCGCAATACGCGCATACAGTGTAGCTCTTTTTTGGCAAGTGTTGCCGTTTTGTTGAATTGCATCTGCCCTCTATTGACACGTTATGTACAACATACAGACGATCTAGTAAGGTTTACACCACACCCTAGACTGTTGTTTATTCCGAGTCCTTCTGAAAATGGAAAACTAGAGTGATTTTTATGCGGAAAATAAAACACAAACGAAAACTGCGTAAATCGCAAGTCTACTACGGAAGAAAAAACAAAATACAAGAAATGTCAGGTGGCAGAGTTTCAATGTACTGACCTCTCTCGGGAATTCCACATACTCTTCGTTCTCAGAGTAGCCGATGGCCTTGTAGAGCTCCAGCCTCTCTCTCTCCTCTCTCTCTGCCTCACTCCCCCCGTCGGCTGCACCAGACACGTCCGCTGCGCCAGAAACACCCGCTGTCGTCCCCTTCCCGCCCTTGTCTCCCCTCACCCTCTCACTCTTCACCTCCTCACTCTTCTCACCACCGCCCGATTTCAGCTTCTTTCTAAAGTTCGCAAAGAGTCCCTTTTTCTCTTTCTTCTTCTTCTTCTCCTCTTGTCCCGAGGCTTGGGATGCTGCGGCTGTTTTCTTCACTTCACCGGCAGTCGACGGTACTGGTTGGACCGCAGACTGTACCGGCGGAATAGGCGATGATGTCACCGGTGGAGGCGTGGCAACGGGAGGAGCTTTCTTGAGTGAAGCAACCTTTGTCTTCTGACGAAGGAGAATGTGTTTTGCTCTCAGTAACGGTCTTTCATACACTCTGAGTACACTTACCCCTTTCTTGGCTTCTCTTCGAGCAATGACAATGTTGAACCAATCCAGTTGATCCTCAAGCTCCTAATACATACGCACACAACGGGAGAAAATACTGACGGTTCAGTGTTCAATTCTCTTCCGGCCTTCCCTCCCTCTATAATCTCACACTACCACACGATACTACTCTCACAGTACCACATGGCTATACCCTCTCTCTCTCTCCCTAAACTCTGTCGGCCTCTCTCTGACTTTGATCTTATCCTCCCTACATAGTTCATGTTCCATACCACCTTTCCCTCCCTTCTCTCTCACCTTAATCTGTTTCTGTAGGGAGGATGAAGTACTAACACTCTTCATCCTCTCTCTATACTTGTCGCGATACAACTTGAACCTCTGCCTGTACTCACATGAAGAAAAGAAAGTGGTCACATGACAGTCACGTGAGGGTCACGTGTGTACATACCTGTGTTGCTGGATGTGTTTCCATGACCACATCTCCATCTTCCTCCTCACCTCTTCCTTGGTCACGGCGGAGATGGCATACCTCCACCATTGTCTCGGGGCCTCCTTCACCCCCACCCCTACTGGTCGGTACTTGAGGAACTTGAGGTTCACCGCATGGCGGTCAAAGGTTTCCACGGTATTCAGCACGCTCTTGAACTACAATGGAAACGTTTTTCTTACTCTAATACATGTAACCATTACAACTGTCCGTTACGATATCGTACTAGTACAACATGTTTGCTCCCACAGCACCTGCCAACCAACCCACATACTGTGCCATACCATACAGTATTGTATATATATATATATACCAGTGTCAGTTGAAACGTAAACTTTCACATAACGCCAGTTGTTGTTTATCCTAACCTGCTGCCTGGAAGCAGCCGTGAACCCTATACAAACCCACCTGAGCCTCGTGGAGACACACGACAATATCGTCCAACTGCACGTCCAAAGCAACCTGCACAAACACACGTTTTGTGTATATAACAAGCGTTACACATACACTGATATATCTTGAACACACTTCGTTTAGCGTCATAAACATATGCACATATAGTGTACATACGTAAGTACAATGCAGTGGTGATATGTAGTTCTATTAAACAAACTCTGATTCATATACACTGTATACATAGTATGTCGCTGCTTCACAATATTATGTTGCTGGAGCCCGCGATGCAATCCAACGTGAATCCATCGGCAAATTTCCAACAAAATAAACTCATTTTTGGCAAGTGAACCCAAAGTGTAAATTTTCGGACTTAAAAAAAAATTTATAGCCAGTGTGTATCACTAAGTACGGTAGTACTTAGTATATAGGGATGACACAGGTTGTCCTGCATTATGCCCATACATTTGAGATTTTCATTCAGTTTCAATAACATTAGTGAGATAGTGAGAGAGGCTACTCCACTCTAACACCCTAGAAACAACTGTTGGAGATCATGTTGGAAGAAAACTGAAAGTGCAAATGTGTACATTACCAAGTTGTCCGCGTGTTGTTGAGTTGTTTTGTACACTTACGATTCATGCACGTACAGTACCCATCCACATACTCGTGAAGACGTTCATTCAAATAGATCTCGAGGCCATAACCCGACATTAGTAATAATAGTATAATATGATACCTGAGGGATAGTCATGTCGGTGCCTGGCTTGAGGCTGAGTCCCAGTCTCGCATCGGCTGATAGCGGCTTCAGCACTGGGGGCAGGGAGAAACGAAGTCACACTCGTAATCACTCGCCAACTCAAAACAAACACTAACTTTCGGCGATTACGCATGATGGCCACCAAGTTAATATTACCAGGTCTTGTAAATATATTATGTTGCAGTGCCCAGAAAGGACAGCGTGAGTCCTGAATGCTGTCCTGTCTGGGCACTGCAACAGATTTGTTGGATATCCCTAGGCAAATGACATGTATGAATCCTGCTTGCACATGTAGGATTGTATAGGCTGATAAAATCCCCCAGTACCTAGCTTCATACATGTCGGTTGCCTAGGGATATCCAACAATTTATAATACATTGCAACCTAAAGTCACCAAAGTGTATGTATGACCAGCACAGTTACGGTTTAACTGTGCCATACGCATGTATGCAATATTGCTTAACTGGAAACAGAGATAAGAATTAAGGGATGTATGTATATGCAGCATAGTAGTACATACTTACAGTACTCTATTGAAGGGGGCGGGGCAAGAACAGGTCGTGCTATGGCTTCCCTCATCTCCTCCTGATTACATCACGATGACATCATCACAATATCAAAAGAAGAAATACAAGTGAGTTTTTAGTGCATAGTAGGAAAATCATGAGCGTTCAAGCGCATTTTTACAAATGGCCAGCTTTGAAGAAACCAACTTAGCATTGTTAGTTAGTTATGGGCACTACGTAACTCAGGGAAAAGACATTTTAGAGATGTTATTCCTACGGACCTTTCAGCCCATATTCCTTGCGTAACCACCAGGTGAATGCCAGCACAGCGACAAAGGTTTTGTTTTCCTCGGAGGCAAACACACAGAGGTTACACTGTCGCAACCCTGAAACTGTTTCTGTGTTTACACGGCATGTCACACGCAAACGACGGAAAAATATCCCTCGCCGCTGGCCAGCAGATACGTAGATATTTCAGGCTAGGTTGTCGCATTGCAACGTCGCGAGGATAGAAACCATTCTTTCTTAGCGGCACGGAGCAACGGGGCAATGCGACACGTTGCGAACCTAGCCCTAGTTGATACATGTATAATGGCATGTGAAGCGAGATGCGAGGGTAAAGGTTTTGCTTACCACCATTTGGGCTTGAGGTAGACTGGCCATTTCAGACGTTGACGCATTCCAATATACTCCAAAACAGTTCAGCTCCAGTAGCTGATTCAGGGAGGTTATAGAGAGAGGGAAGAGATGAAGAGAAAGAGAAAGAGAGAGAGAGGGGGGAGGGAGGAGGGAAGGCGAGAGAACCGGAAGTAAAGAGAGAACGATAATGGAGGGTGCAAAGGAAAAGGGGGAGAATTGGGGGGAAATCTATTCATTAGTTATAGGAAAGAGAAAGGAAAAAGGCTCTTAGTGATTATCACCTCGGGACATAGTACAGCTCCAGCCAGTCTCAGTGGTTGGGAGGAAACTGTCATTTCCTTACAAACCCACACTCAGTATACAAGGCCAATGATAGTCCGAGACAATGGAGGGAATTCAGTGGACATTGGCACACACTATAGTACCACATCCCACAAGGAAGACAAGGGACACATGAATCACCCACCAAACAGGACGCTCTGTCTCCTCTTCCTTCCCAATCCATGCACTGTACCCCGGCCCTCTCTTGTTTTCAGAGGATGAGGACTTATAGTTGCTGAGCTTCCAAAACCTGCCATGCAGTATAGAGAGCCCCAAATCCCCTCTGACAGGTTTCAGGGCTCCCCAAATCCCCTCTGACAGGTTTCAGTGTACTGAATATAAGCTGCCATTACTGCACTACTTGAAAGTGGGCACGTGTATATATATATATATATATATACAGCCGTGTGTGCTTGTGTTGGGAAAGATTCCTGTGCGCAAGAGAGGGTAAGTGTTTCCCACGTGTTAAATGCCTGTGGACTTGTTTGCTATAATTTTCCCCCTCCATCCTCGCGTTGGTAGCAGAGCATGCCACAAGCGTTGACTCGCACAAGTCCTATGATATGTGCTCTTGGCATTCTTGAAGGTGTAAAAGTAGTGTATGGCGATGGCTAATGGGAATCTTTTGTCGCTACTAGGGGCACTAGCATAAGACTTCTTTCAGATTATGGATAGGAAGCATTTTTTCAGTACAACAAGCAAATCATCTGCAAATTCATTTTTAACGATAGCCACAAATGTACGGTACACGTCTATGCAAAGGCAGTCAGTGAGAAGGTTTGCTAGATTTGTTAACATACCTTGTATATGAGGGTGGCAGTATCTCTCACGAATGAAGGTTTCCAATTCTCATCGGCACTCTGGAAGACGCACAAACAATACTTTAAACTTCGTCGAAACAAGTGCCCTTTCAAAAAATTCATTGCTTCTACCTTACATATTATTATTAAGGAGGACTGAATCGAGTGATGAAATCTAGAATTGGGGCCACTGAGGGTCACAATTTGCTCCCCCACCTCCATTTTCTCTCCCTGATGACTTCTCACCTTCATCTCCAGGCTGTGCAGTGTCACACCGGCTGCTAGTGTTCTGGCAGCCCCGGACGAGTCCTCGTACCGCACGTGAATGTCACGGACTTTGACCTCCATGTTCTTCAGGAGATTCGTAACCAGTTTCTCTGTGAACGTGTCCGGCTTGTCTTTCTTGGCTTTTTGCTCTTCTTCGCCTCTTCTGCATAAAAAGTAGAGTTTTATACCTAAAAGTTTAGCCGTGTGCGACTCTTTTGGGTAACCACGACATTTTAGAGTACAAAGTTTACGCAACGGCTTTAGTTTTGTGTAACTCACTCTCTTTCTTCTTCTTTTTCTTGGCGGATTCTTCAAATTTTTCAATCTTCTTCTCCTTTTCTCTCCTCATCCTCTTTGGTCTCTCTCGGCATCATAATGTGTGTCTAGTCAGCAGTCAGCAGTAGAATAATTATTATACATAACTACATTATAACCCCCGCACACCAATACAAATACACTCCCCACAGTAGTTTACGAGAAACACACACTACGGCATATAGTGCAACAATTTGGGCTACAGGGAGTGTAAGCGAGTTCATAGAGTGGAAACATGTGAAATGTGAAAGTGTTTCACAGCATCAGACATATTATAACCACATACACGATATTCGGGCAACTACATAGGTTTTTGCGCGATTTATTACTCACCAATAAACAATGTTCATATTACATATACGCCATACGTACACATGTCTAACATAATATTACACCACCCACTTGTTGTACTGTATTGTGCTATATACACCGCCATGCCATGGGCCATCTGTGCTTATAATCACGTCCTGTACGTATGTACTCTAACACATATATGTTGCAGTGCCCAGACAGGACAGCATGAGCCCAGTAAGGGCGAATGCTGTCCTGTCTGTGTACTACAACAGATTTGTTGGATATCCCTAGGCAAATGACATGTATGAACCCTGCTTGCACATGTAGGATTGTACAATCCCCTAGTACCTAGCTTCATACATGTCGGTTGCCTAGGGATATCCAACAAATATCCATGTTAGAATACACCGGTTCCTTACAACCCTTGGGACACAAACAGCACAGAGTGGGCAGGGCTAAAGAGCTGCCTGGCATTTCAACGTCACGCTACATGGCCTAACACGGGGGGAAGGACAGGTAAATTCAATAATAGCAGAGGAAACGATCGGTCGACGCGAAAATAGAGTTGCTGGCAACATTCTCACGGGGACGTTTGGCACGAGTCAGTAAACACGCAGATATTGCAACACATACAGTGGCCCTATATACAGTAACAGTACAGTAAATAGTAATTTTCTACAGACAATATGCACAAAAATCTACTGTTTACAGTTGCGACACTCTGAAGACAGACGTTAGACGTGGTGCATTTGGGAGCGTGCGCACGCCATTCAATTGAAACAGAAAAGAAGCAAATCCATAAATTCCACATGCTTCATTATGGTATAAACGTATTACGAGGGCTAAGCTCCTTTTCCTGCTAAAGCAACCTTTCTCTGATGGTTTCAATGGACTAAGATCAGGGCCCAAGGACTAGGGTTACTACGTTCAGCCTTCGGCATGTCTGCATGCACAGCTAAACAAAAAGTTGGAGCTAGAAATGTATTGCGTGGAGGTGTGAAAAACCCCCTCCCAATGTCCCAATACATTCCCAGGGGTGTAGGAAGCTTTTAAAATGTTCCACGGCCCTAGTCTTAGTCAGCTTGTTTGCATGTGACGGCTGCTCTCTACGTGACTTTGCGCGCGTGTTCTGCCACGCCCTCTCAAACGTGGCCAGCTCCGCGCGCACGCACGCGCGTGCCATAGCGGCCTAGTCGCAGTAGAAAGTGGTACGGCCACAGCCGTTGTGGCCGTACCACTTCCTACGCCCCTGATTACCATACAATTAAAAAGTCACTCAATCGTGAAACAAGCACACTCGCTATATACAGTAACAGTACAGTAAATAGTAATTTTCTACAGACAATATGCACAAAAATCTGCTGTTTTCAATTGCGACACTCAGACAGACGTTAGACGTGGTGCATTTGGGAGCGTGCGCACACCATTCAATTGAAACAGAAAAGAAGCAAATCCAGAAATTCCACATGCTTCATTCTGGTATAAACGTATTACGAGGGCTAAGCTCCTTTTCCTGCTAAAGCAACCTTTTGCTGATGGTTTCAATGGACTAAGATCAGGGCCCAAGGACTAGGGTTACTACGTTCAGCCTTCGGCATGTCTGCATGCACAGCTAAACAAAAAGTTGGAGCTAGAAATGTATTGCGTGGAGGTGTGAAAAACCCCCTCCCAATGTCCCAATACATTCCCAGGGGTGTAGGAAGCTTTTAAAATGTTCCACGGCCCTAGTCTTAGTCAGCTTGTTTGCATGTGACGGCTGCTCTCTACGTGACTTTGCGCGCGTGTTCTGCCACGCCCTCTCAAACGTGGCCAGCTCCGCGCGCACGCACGCGCGTGCCATAGCGGCCTAGTCGCAGTAGAAAGTGGTACGGCCACAGCCGTTGTGGCCGTACCATTTCCTACGCCCCTGATTACCATACAATTAAAAAGTCACTCAATCGTGAAACAAGCACACTCGCTAATAGTTTTTCCATCAGCAAGTAAAATTCCCATTTGCTACCAAATCCCAAAAGTTTTACAAACTTCACGCTATATAACGGTACACTATACGGCTTGAGGACCCCAGAAGCCACATAATGGCCACAATCAATCTGATTGGTCGAATGCACGTTACTGTACTAGTCAAAGTGACATGTACGTACCTATATTGGGGCCGACCACGACGTACACCTCATCAATAGTCACATAGAGAGGTTCCCTTGTCAAGTGTTTCCATGGAATCTTCAGTTCCAATTTACCTATATACAAGTGAGGCATAACATTACAACATTTTACCTCAACAGGGAAGATATGACAATACATATATGCATGTCTCAACAACTTGGTAGCGAGGTATATAGAAAGGCAAGTCAAGGCAAACAAGTCAACCAAGGGGCAATTTCAGTCTAATTGCAGTGTGGTTTTGCCTGCCGAGATTTTTGTCAATCCTTTGCTACAAACTGGTTTAAAATGTTGTCAGCCATATCCGAGGGTCCTCCACAGCTAGCTGCATTCACTGTTGTACATGTGTACAGTGTTCTAACGAGGGTCTGGACCACTTTTCTTTTTTTTTAAACTTCGTAGCCTGAATGCTACTATGCCAAGAAACAAATAATTATAGATAGTACTAACTGTACTACATGAGACCCCATTATTAATTAGTCATGTCAGAGTGAGATAGAAAGTAATTTCTAACTCCATGGCACACAAACTGTCTTCAAACTAAGCAAAGGCCAGCTGCTACAAAAGCCTTAACACCTGCTGTGCTGAAACCAACACCACAAACTAGTGGGCGATGGTACAACTGGCAATACAAACTTGTGAGCTTGTGTAGCTAGGCTAAAGGAAACTATAACTGACCAATATAGCTGTTCTTGATCCTCACCGGTATATCAAACTCTTCCTGCACGCAGTAGTAAAAACACTTCGTACAAATCATGCCAAGTATACGTAACAAGGTCTAATCCAAACACGAATGGGACAGAAACGTGTCTATATCACCGACATTCCTTACTTAAAGGGGTTAAAAGGCATGCAAGACACTGTTATCGGGGAAAGAAAAGTTGTCCTTATTAGAGGGGTGTCCTCATTACAGGGGTGTCCTTTGAGAGTGTACATGCATGAACACGGCTATGTGTGGGTATGATGTACTGCTAATGGACTGTATGTATACTTACAAAAAGATCCTCTTTGAGCTCTAACTTGTCCAGGTGGGCATGACCTAAGGAAACAGAGGGAAGGAGGAGGGAGGAAGGAAGACAAAAGCAGGGAGAGAGAGAGAATGATAATACTCTTTCCTCAGAAGTGGGTTTTACTCCACTGTTTTTTTCATACTTCATTTTTCCTTCTTTGGGTGGTGGTTGGTCAGAAATCATACCACACACCCGGTGTTTCTGGAGGGAGGCGGAATTACTAGGAGCAAATTCTCATTAATATTTGGTTGGGGAAAGAACTTCCCTTGTTTTTGGTGGCATGGGTATTTATAAGAAGCATCATTCCTGGTAAATTGAAGGGTTTCCCATGGAATTGTGGAAGAGCTCAAATTTGTTTCTGCAGCTGCAAGATGCTGCTATATATATCTCTCACCCTTCCAGACGCCCACTTTGATTTGCGAGGGATCGAGTCTTTTGACGTAGGGCCGCAGGTAGCGGTTGAGGATGTCCACCAGAACCGACTCGAACACCATCTCTGCTACCAATTCCCCCTCTACTCCGTCTCCACGGTGTGCAATGTGCCCGAGTCAGAGAGATAGAGACGGCCACAAGCCAGGAGAAACCGAGAAACCGAGAAACAGCCCTCGGCTCAGCTTCTAGCTACGCCACGCCCACATCGCGGGCGCGTGCACGCGCGTGCTTATAAAAAGGGTCGCACGAATAAAGTTGCAGCTCGTTTGCCGTCTCTTTTGTTCTGTAATACCAATTTTCATTGCGTATTCACCAGAGAGAGTCATGAAATCAGTGGTGAGTGCAGGTTTTTCATTATTGACTGCGACTAGCTACGTATCTATGTAGCTATAGCTAGTTGTTGGTGGAAACGGATTCAGATCGTCGGCAGGTAACACAAAAAAATAACTATGGTTACGGCGTTTTCTCGTTGAATGCTCTATATCCTATAGCCGCCTCCTGTGTATAAAGTTTTTCAAATGTGTAAAGTGCACAAAAACTGTTGCGTGCTTGTATGGTCTTGGGTTCAATGGATCCCCACTTAGCAACCGGTTTTTGAAGTGTTTGACAGCCGTGTATGTAGCTAGTTGGCCTGTCATTGTCAGTATAACAGTTTCAGTGCCAACGTGGCAAACATAACTCCATGTCAAAGTTTGGTATCTCTGCATTGACAAACTCACTGGCACCGCGTAATGCAAGCAAACATTATAGTCAATCAGTGTGTTATATACACATTTGGACAGAGGCCCCCTATGCATGTCCTGTTAAGCCTTTGGACGCTGGGTATCTGCTTAAATAAGTAGAAATTGATGTATAAAGTATTAGCGCCTAGTATTATAACCCCCATATAAATTCTTATGGACTTATGGAGGCTGCCAACACATTTATGTATCCGTGGCTGGTTTAAGTGGTAACTTGGACACAGGCCCCCTACGCCTTGTTTATCCGTACTTTGGCAACGGTTGCACTCAACCCACTTCTCACATTATTACCATTTGTGTAACTTCAGGCATCCAAAATGCACGGGATGTGCTATAATTAAAGTTATGCCAGAGTTCTTTCATTGTACAATATCATTTCTGCAGATACGTCTGTTGGCATTAGCTCCATTGATGGTGCATCAAATAGTAGCGCAACAGCCACAAGGTATGTATATTATTATACTTAAGCCAATGATGCTGATACTATTTTATACTCATGTCACAGGGAATGACAATCAGAAAGACTCAAATACTAAGGTAAGTAGCTGCAATTTTTCAACCAGATGATGTACATACTTCTTCATTCTATGCATAGATTATGGAGTGGTCTATTCCAATAGTGGCCCTGGTTCTCGCTTTCATTATCATAACCGGAGTCATAGCCTACACAGTGTACAGACAGAAGAAGTACGGGGCCTTTTGTTGCCTAATGCCAGTGAGTTGTGCGATTCCGCGTCACTGTGGTAGATTGCGCATGCGTGTACAATTGCCGTGAGTGCGCATGCGTGTAAAGGAGAGAGCGGTTTTACGGTATTCTCTCCCCTCGCAGAAAATGCGGTATCGTGTTGGGACAAGTGAAGAGACAATTGAGCGTCAAGACTACCCTTCGCCTCCTCCATCGTATGATATGAGTCGCAGACACATTATTGCTCCACCTGAATACCATGATGCTCTTCAAGATGTTCTCCTTGAGTCAGGCAACAGCAGTAATACAGGGCAAACTGGTGGGTCCCCCTCTCTCCTCTCTCTTCTCTCTTTAGATGTCATCTTCAATGTATTTCAGGCAGCAGACTCACTTCATGGTCAAACATTGCAATGAATATCAGCACACCACCGGAATATGCCGCAGTTGTGACTAGTACTGTACTGAATACTACAGAAACACTGCATCAAGATAGTGAAGCAGAACATGACACTAGCAGAGACACAGACTCATCCTCTAATGCAACCATGTCACTAAGTAACATTTTGGAGGAGCAGATTACAGGGGGAGAGCTAATTTCCCCGCGTCTATCCTCTACATCAGCAGACACTGAAAGTGAGCAGACCAGAACGTTGATTGATTAGTCCTACTAATACAGGATGCTCTCACTCTTATTATCACTCACCATTATCATTGATGTGTTATATCGCTCCATTCAGCACTATCTACTCATCATAACAAATATTTATTCATTGCTGCAATACACACTAGTACGTCAGGTGGCAAAAATATTCAGGGCCATGCCATACTTGGTAAGCACGTAATGTGCTACAGAATGGCAAGCAAAATAAAAGCGAGATACACGTGAGACTGCTCGTCTAAGTTTGTGTAAGCTCATTGGAGCCAGTGTCATTCTGTGGAAACGCCGCCGTGAAGGATGGCTAAACTGTGGGTAAGTCAGTCAACGGCTGTGATGCGCGCAAAAGGAGGGCGGCCAGGTGTTTACGCACAGATTCTAACCGCAGGCGTTCGCGTTCTTGGTCGTCGCTCTGTGTGCAACTGGGTCCCGGGCCCAAGAAGAGAGTAGCAAGGACAAGCCGAAGGGCTCCGATGCCACCACTGAATATGTGAGTCAATTCTGGATTTTTCATTGCAGTTGGGTAAAATATACAATTCGTCCTGCAGCCAACCCTCTCCCCCCCACCGCCTCCCCCAGACCCTCTTATTCACGTGAGTAACACAACAGACAACTCAACAGGTGCCCGGCTACAGATTGCTTTCTCTTCTTTCTGCAGAATCTCCAGTTTTCTCTGCCCATCGTTACAGTGTGCATACTTCTCTTCATAATGATGGTCATCGTCATCGTCGTCATGCGAAAGGCACGCTACGGACAGTTCTGCTGCCTCAAACCAGTTAGTATCTACATAATTTGAAAATTGACTGTGGCCATGTGTGGTTGGATAATATTACTTTATCTGCTTTAACACACGCGTCTCCTCTTTCCTCCCACAGAAAATGAGATTCCGATACGTGTAAGTTGTCTCTACCAATAAATACTCTGTGTATATACAAATCTGGAACCCTGTCAAAAGTACCGCCTCTTTTGTCGATGACTTTACACTTATGCACTCTCAGTCTATTTATCACATTAGCTCTGAAAAGGACCCTCCGAATAAAGGACACTGTGCTTCTGCCCCATACTAACACATTAGTAATTTTGATTAATTAAGGGACATCTCTGATTAAATGACAGTTCCGATGTTCCCAAGGTGTCCCTTTATTCAGAGGTTTCACTATAGTGCACTTTCACCCTCCTCTCTTCTCTCACATCACCAATTCTAGTGATGACGACCAAGATGCAGAGAGTGGCAACCAGACACCCCCACCGACGTATAAAGTGATGGAAATGATTGCTCCTCCAGACTACACCGACGCGCTGCAGGACGTCCTCGTGAGCCAGAGCAAGCAGGAGGGAGAGGAGGAGCCTTCTGAGGAGACCAGGGAAGGCACTTCAACGGTGGAGGTCCCACTGGAAGACAATGAGGTCATTACACACTGTGCTGTGGAAATGTAGCCGCATAATTATTATGAGCTAAATTTAGGATTCCAACTGGCCCCTATTGCTATCCCATTAATACTGGCACATTCCCTTAACATTCCTTCAGTCAATGCAGCTTTAGCTGTGTTTTTAACTGTACTCCCAATGATGTTGTGTTGTTAACTCTTTCCTAGTCCATCATGCTGCTGTGTTATTTAACCCTCACCCATATCCCTGTAGGCTGAAGATGATCGCACTCCTCTCAATCCCTAAACATGTTCTGGACCACACAGCTCTGATTTTTTTTCGTTGTTTAGTTATCTCTTTTTTGTGCCGTGTATCATAGGCTACAGCACTAAACTCTATTAATTATTTGCTCCATGTTCTTCACCCGTTTTTTTTGTAAAAGTTGTGTAATTGTGAACGAGTAGATTTTTTTAACCCCAATTCAAACTTGTGTTCTATTATATATGCCTGTCAGATGAAAGGTTATAGAGGATTGGGAATGGAGGAAGGTATGACAACTGACGAGGTTGGACTCATACAACTGTGCTAAGAAGCTCACAATGTTCGGTGCTAATGAACGCACATATGGTAGTTGATAGGCTTTGTTTTCCCAACTCCTTACTTTCTTCCACTCACTATTCCATGGAAGGCAACTTCCTGTCACGCAGAATACAATATATGGTTTGGACACACACAAACAGGGTCATGAGAGCCACTATATGATCAGCACATATTATGACTCATTGTCTCCCACACCATACACATCCATACAATTCCCAAATTCCCCAGTAAACTGAAACCACACTTGTAGTACACACATGAAGAGTGCTGTCTATTTAGAGTAGAGTTGAGGTGGTAAAACTGCCAATGATATTTACACAATCACATACGTGAATCTACACGATATACTTTCAAGTATAAAACACAAATGAGTTAAAAAGCCTGTCTTTGAAATGAGTGGTAACCCCTACAACTGAGAGTAAATAATGACGTGGAGACAGGCAGAACACAAAACTTAACAAACAGGTTTTTTGCACTGAAGCTCCTAGAACGGATTGGGGTTGTAACAACGGCCCCCCGGCAATCTCAGAACCAAATGAATGGTAGCGTTTCTTTCTATCTTGTAGTGTTTTAGAGACTGTTTGTCTTCTAACTGATGCCCACCAAAAATGAGTCTCTGCTCGTCCACGGGGACGTTGTCTTTCTCCTGCAGCTTCATCTTGACGTTGAGTATCGTGTCGTCCTCCTCTACCACGATCGTTACTGTTCTCCCTGTCAACGTCTTGACAAATATCTGCATGTCGAACGAGAACGTACGAGTGTGTGTGTGTGTGTGTGTAGATAGATAGATACTGCGCTAAACTGTCGTTAGTGCGCGTATACACACGCGCGCGTGCGCTTACTGTACTAATAAGCAAATTCGATGCGCTTATACTAAGCATATCGTCATCATTAATTTTACAGTGTCTGACACAGTATTATGAAAAGTAACTGATTCGAGAGCAGGAACACAATCTAGAAAAGAGTTACATTGTGAGTATATAGTATACAATAGTCCATTAGTAGAGGAGCCTCTGGCGATCGCCGATGTCAATATCGGGGGAGGGGGCAGAAGGGATGGCGGGCATGTAGGGGGGTGGGGCAGTGACGGGAGGGTTCCGCGGAGGAGGCATGTGAGGCAGAGTCATGCCTGGCGGAGTTACGGGGCCAGCTGCTACCGGAGCAGGAGGAGGAAGAGGTTGAGTGAGGCCTCGCTGGGGTGGAACTTGGACGCGAGGCATCGGCTGCTGGAGAGGGTTCTTCTCAAGAGTCTCCTGCCCTTCCTGGACCCTCACGGAGCGATCGGCGCCCGTCATGGCCTGGTCATAGGAGGGAGGGAGGTTGGGGTCGTTTGGTCGTCGCGACGCCGGTCGGACGATGATGGTGCGTGTCAGCTGCTGAGTCGGGCGACCAGGCTGCTCAATGGCGTAGGATGTCTGCTGAGCTATGCCACTGGGGCCTTGGATCTGTCTCACTGACACCACTCTGGCACTGCAGAGAGAGGGGGAAAAGATGTGCAGTTGCTTACAAGGCCTTGGAAAAAAAGCTGTCCTGGTGTAGTTGACTCGTTTGCTTTTCCACCTCGTAGTTTACACATACATTTGAGCCAATAAGAACTATCGATGCTGTCGTAAGCAACTGTATACTATCAATGCTGTTGCTGTTGTAAGCAACTGTGACTTAAGAGAAATCAAAAGCACAGACATGTGTCCAAATAAAAGGGCCGAGTGTGAAAGAGCGTGTGTGTGTGTGAGAGAGAAAGGGAGGGTGGGACACACAGTGAGAAAACATACGTGGCACACTGCGCTTGTACTCTCCTCTGCTGGCAGATCCGAATCTGTTGTTCTCTCCTCTGAGACCAAAACAGCACCATAAAGTCGGGCATGAATCACGTAGTGTGTACAACACAATACACATCATCACATAGGCTGTATATGGCTGTGTGTTACAAGCAGCATGGCTAAAAATCGATCAAGCAGTGAAAAATGCTCTATCATGGCGCAGTACAGCATAATATAGCAACTCTAACAGACCTTTTGGTAGAGCCAGATCCTGCAGCATATGAGGGAGACTTTCAACACCACCACGATAATGACGATAGGAATCACGAAGGCATACACGCTATCTGCACCACAAGAGGAAATTATTCACGACATTCCCCTCTCGTTATGAAGACCAATGGATCTTCCCGGGAAGAAACCACTATCACATCCTTTGAGTGGTTTGGGAGCTTAAATTTCAAAGGGAACTGTGAAAGTATATACACAGTTCAGTTTATAACTTGAGCCTAATGCTTTTACAAAGGGGGAACCCTCTCATTCCCAGTTCATTAGCCACTATTGGACAAGTGGAGGGAGCTGAGTGTGTGCCAAGAATGTGGCCTGTCCGGAGGAATCAGAAACCGTATATGATCCGAAGTCCAAAAGGGAGTTTTTTTAGTCCTAGGGAGTAGCAGCAATCAACCTCGCTTTATCGACATGGGGTTAGCATTTATGTTGCTGGTGAACATACATCACATCAGCAGGTTCCAATCCACTTGACCTATAATACACACACACACCTACTGTAGTTCAGCTATTAACAAATAGCACTATCAGCACATGTTGAATTGAAAACCTGCTTGTACACAACTTTCATTTTTCAAACAGAAAACCAAAGGCTTCGCCTGATGCAAACAAGTGTTACTGTTTTGCTAGAGGGCGTTGTTTCTGCCTTCATGATACAAGCTAAGGACCACTGATCTCCAGCAAATGTCAGTATTGAGCTATATCCTCCCTCTGTCCACTGAATCTTATCAGCAGGTATATCATAGCTAGATCACAACCCAACAAAGCGAGCCCAGATCTGCGCCATACAACCACAACTCACTACGAACGTTGAGTAGTATTCAACCGCTCCTCAGAGGAGCAAGCAATCTCAGTAGTGTACTCACCCGCCATGACTGAGAAGCCGGCTGATCCAGTCAACGTATGTAGTAGGTATGTGTAGTTCACTGTTGTCCACCCGACAGATCAGCCAACCCTCGGCTCAGTTACTGCCTGCCCGCTTCCCACTTGCAGTAGTCGACTCGTTTTGCTGTCTATAGCGAATCCAGCTTATGTGCATCTACCTCTTCCTGGCGAAAACTCCCCGAACTCCCTACAAAACGTATCCCAGCTCGCTCGCTACACACACACACACACACACACTACACACACACGTACGTACACCACAACCCGATGACGTAATGCAAGGATCTACGCATGCGCAAAACATCAACACAGCTGCTGCATGTATGTGCAAAACACACAAAGATGAATAATATTGATGCCGATGATCAGGATGAGAAGTGAAGAGGATAAAATTGTGACATTGGAAGTGTCTGAACAGCAGAAGTGGATGATTGGTTACCTGGGTGTGGCCATACAGACATAATACACACGACAAAACTCAAGCTACGAAGTGATGAACTAATAGAGCTCAATGATTAGAGGGACTCTTGGCCACCGGGTAGGTTCTCCCTGTCGCTGTCCAGCAGCAGAGGATCGGAGAAGAAGTCTACAGGACCAGAAGAGGGGTGCAGGGGGTAAGACTCGAAAAACTCGCCGGACTCCATCTCAAGTGATATCGGGATGCCCTGGTGCTGTTTTTGCATCGTGAGCCGCGGCTTGTGTACACCCACGTGACCCAGAGACCGCCACCTCCCGTTCTTGCCCCTGTAGCCGCCACCCCACCTCCGCTGGAAAAGGGAGAAAGAGACACTGTTATTGTACACGCTCCTATCAATACTCTGGAGGCCCTCCCACTAACCGGCTAATGGGGTTGTGGGTAGTACCGGCGCCGTTCACATGTACGTACGTACCAGTGTACACCACCACAAGCCACAAAATATGCGCCTAGAGCTGTATGATTATCTCTAGCTATAGCTAGACTTTCTCACCTCTGACCGTCTGTAGAACTCACACCAGAAGATAACACAACACAACAGCAGAGAAAAGGCGCAGATCCCTAGGAGAACACCTGGTGAAGAAAAATACGTAGTAGAGAGTAAAAACTTGGCCCGAAGACCACAACTTCACCCGACGAACGGGGGCTGTAGTTGGCAGGCTTACCGATAAAGACCGCCGTGTACATTTCGTCTCGATTCTCTCACTCGGTACAACAGGAGAAGAAAACAGCGTTAGAGGCACGGGACGACAAGGACTGAAGAGCGCGAACAAAAAGAAGTGTAGTAAAGTGGAAACTACACGACCACGTCTATTGCGCGGTCATCGAATAAAATGGAAGCGATGACGTAAGGATATTTAGGCATTTCCTGTTCCATAAACGCAAAGCGGAACCCTTATGGTAATTTAAACAGACCCCTTTTTCAGTAGTGTTTGTGACAGCAGGTAGCCCTTTCACAGGGCAATCCCTGAGTCAAAACAGTTAGCTGATTAGCGACTGTTGCCTAGTATCAGTGGCAACAGCAGGATGTTTTGAAGATTCAAAGAGGCTAATGGACCCGATTAACAACTCCACTGCTATTCACATTACAATTAGATTGTTGGGTGAAGAAGGTTTCAATATCAAAATGGTAGTTAATGATACAAAATCAGCCAGTACAGAAGAACATAAAAATAAGCATCAACGAGCACAGTGGATTGATCAAACAAACACCAAACAGTACAGATACAGACGGCTGGCAGAGCGGGAGATATAACAGAGGTTCACACAGTAGTGACTTTGCCAGAAATCCCCTGGAAGCCCTCCAGGACCACGGCTCTGTAAAGGTTGTTGTCCATAGCCTTTGCTTTGGACGACATCGTCTTTTTCGCCACAGAGTGGGCCCCGGTGCCAGTTGCAGTAGCTGGAGGTTGACGAGGAAGAGAAGTATGATGAGATTGTGAGTGGTTGGTTGAGGTGGATGAGGTACTATTCTGTTGTCTGGACCGAGTCTTTGCTGCTCCTCCTGGTGACTCTGACATGGGGTAAGGTGGAGGCGGGTCGTCTTCAATGCCCTCGCGAATTCTTCCCGAGTGGGAAGATTTCTGAGTTGTACCAGCAGGTGACCACTGAGTATTGGTGTTGTGATGGCTTCTGGTACTAGCTGTGGATGACAGTGGTTGGGAGGTGGGCAGTGCTCGGCCATTAGAGGAAGTTAGTGGATGCCCATTAGAGGAAGGCATTGGGTGGCCATTAGTAGCAGGCAAGGAACGACCATTAGTAGCAGGCAGGGAGTGCAATGGGTGACCATTGGCAGTAGATACAGGTTGAATTTGGTCACTGGTGATAGTGATAGTGGGGAGACGGTGGCCGATTGGAGGAGGCAGCGTGACATCGCTGTCCTCCACGGGAGACGTCACGTACGTCCCGTTCTCCAGCTCAGTCTGGATCCTGATCTCCGGAATGGGACTCTCCGGGGGAATCCCCCTGGGTGCCGAGAACTGGTACGAGATTTCGTTCTGGGAGGAAAACACGGAATTTGGCAATTTACACTTGCAATACAAACGAAACAGAGAAAAGTGTGCACCAGAGGGTGGGCACACGGCCAATTGTAAATCTAAGCTGATTACCAGACATTGGGCCTCAAAAGGTTCCCAGCCCACCCCGTCACATGACCTAGTACCAGACTCTCTTTCCACCTGCACTCCCTCCCCCTCCAGTCTCCTTAGGGCATGTTTCAACAACGAGGTAGAAAGGCAAAGGCAAACCAAACAAATCAACTACACCGCATGGCTAGATGACGATAATCCAGCTTAACCTTCAACTCCAGATGTTGAAACCTACCTCCAACAGATGCTCTCAACTGCGCTATATACACCATGCAGAAGCTAGTGTAAACAGGAAGATTCTCTCTGTATAATATTGATCACTACTTCACTTTTGTACTGATTATGTTGGTGGAGTGTGCGTGTACATAAGGAAACACATGCACCCACAATGGCTCAATTAGTAGTGTTGGCCATCTAGAATGTACGCTGGCACTCACAGTGACTATTGACACCTCCACCATAACATGCAGTGTACACTTTGCATGCAGTGAAACCCAAGTGCTAACATGGCAGAATAAAGAATGAAACAGTCTGTTTTGATGCCCTACTAAAAGTTTTCCACAACCTCCAACTACATACACTCTACAATTTCTCTCTTAATGTAGTGTGTTGGGAGAAGAGTATGTATTGAGCAATGATTTGAGTTCCCTTGTAGTACTCCAGCAAAGTCATTATCACTTGAGGCAGTGAGGTTTCAGTGAAAGGGCCCTGTGCACATATATACACACCACAAGCATGCACACAGAGGCTCAGGCATTTCAAGCCTCATTACATCAACCACCCATAGCACAACTTTGCATTAACACTACACACTAGTGGCAGAATGAGTGGAGATCATAATATTATAGCATCACTCACAGGGTGGGAAGGCTGAGCAGACTCTATGTAGGCCAAGGGTTGCGAGTTCCTCCCGTACTTGGAACCACGCCTCACTCTAAAGTAGTCTCTGTTACAGTTTCCCTCCTTGGCAGCCCTACAGCAGCAGATGCACGGCCAGAACAGGAAGAAGAAGACTGCCTTGCAGCACCAGAGTGGGGCAAAGAACCAGAACAGGAGTCCACACATGATTCGCAGACAGCAGGCTCTAGGGGTGTAGGCACCGTCCTCCCAACCGTTCTCCAAGAAGTCTTCCCAGAACTGGGAGTTGGGGCTCCAGGCTCCGTAGCAGGCCACCTTCCAGGTCCCCGCGCACTCTCTGCATACGTCCAGGTCTTCCACCATATCGTCGGCTACCGTCCTCCCCTCCACCTCCACCATCTCCATCCGATCTTTCTCCATGCTCTGCCGCAGTTGGCGGTGGGACGGCTGCCAGAGCTCGGTTGGTACCTCGTGCGAGCGGGTGATCCTGCATTTATTTTACGAGGGAGACCTGAGATGCCGTTGAATGCACAAACCCACCCCGAGCACCAGCTCACCCCGCTGCCTGCAGCAGCGAACGAGGGAATGTACCCGTGACATGCAGACAGGAATGCTTCGTTTACTAACTTACCACGAAGTAGCTGGTGCAGAAAAAGATGCGCGCCTTTTACAAGAGGCTCCTTCCCTGCAGTGGCTGGAACGGTTATCCCGAAAACAGGAAGAGGTAGGGGAAGTGACAGGTAAATTAGCTGGCTCAGCAAATCCCCAGGTCCTCGCGTCACGTGGTTCTGTACGGGAGAGGGAAAGAGAGTTTTGGAGTTTCTTGACGGAGTTTTGACAAAAAGAATGGTTGGGATCGTGCGTCTGCTTGTTGCAATCAGCTCGCTGACGCTGCTGGTGCGAGCAGCGCCCTCCCCGCCCAAGTACGTGGAGCTCTATACGGAGCAAATGGTGGATCATTTCAACTACGAGCTCCAAGACACGTTCATGGAGAGATATTTCTTGTCCAGTGAGCTCACCTGCACTAGTTTGGATCTATATTATACGAAGACGGCGGTGCATTCACGCCGCGGCGGGCGATTAGTATACGTGGCTATACATCTAGTGGGCGGGGCTGAGCTCGTCGTCTTTGTTTACAGACGTGTACTGGAAGGGAAGTGGGCCACTGTTCTTCTACACCGGAAACGAGGGGGCGATCGAAGGGTTCTACGACAACACCGGTTTCCTGTTCGAACTGGCGGAGAATTTCAGTGCCCTGATCGTTTTTGCCGAGCACGTGAGTCTGTTTGTTCTAGGCTGTTTTCTCGACTCAAGACCTACAAATCTTCACTTTCTGTTTGTCTATGTGTGTTGTGCACACAAGAAACTGATAGATTACATGCACTCTTCTTTAGCCAAAGTATATATTGTGAATTTTTCATCTTTCCCATGCCATGTTGCAAAACAATTATTCTTTGTGTATGAAACAGCGCTATTACGGAAAGTCCTTGCCGTATGGAGAATCAACGTTTACCCTGAGCCACATTGGGTACCTGACAGCTGAACAGGCTCTGGCTGACTATGCTGTACTCATATCACGTCTCAGGACGCAGTACAGGATCTCAAAGGTCATCAGCTTTGGAGGAAGGTAAGAAACTCATTATTACTCTTAACATTTTGTCTTTACCTCTTCTTTTGCTATTTCTCTGTATATTAGCTATGGAGGGATGCTGTCGGCTTGGTTCAGGTTTAAGTACCCAAACTCTGTGGATGGTGCTCTGGCTGCCAGTGCCCCCATTTACATAGTGGCGAACCTCACGTCTCCTTACGCTTTCTTTGGCCTCGTCACACAGGTGGGTAATAGGGAGTATATGTTGGAATCCCAGTGATTGCCATGAAAGGCCTTGAACTCTGTACTGCGTAGAGAGCATATATCCTGCCAGACATCCTGATTAGTGAGGCTGCACTCTATATGCTGGGGGGAAATGCAGTCGTTTTTGAATAGACACCAGTTTCCACTGGTTTGCTATTCACACAGTATGATTTATGGATGCTTGCATGGTTTTCTGTCAGGACTTTGAGAAGGTGGATAGCAGGTGTCCACTGTATGTCAGAGAGGCCTATGCTGAGATTGATACTCTGGCAGCACAGGGAGAAGAGGGTATAGTGTGCTATGGGTCGCAGCTATCCCTGCCATAAATCTTTTATCGGTGCAGGTCTGAAGCAGATTACCGAGGCATTCGAATTATGCAGTCCGCTCACTTCGGACAAGGTTTATCTCAAGAATTCCTCAAAAAACATTCACAGTGTGTTGGTTTTCCTTGGGCTAGGTTGAGCACTTGAAGGGTTGGGTGAGAAACTCGTTCACGTCACTGGCCATGGTGGATTATCCCTTACCCAGCCTCCTTCCTGGCCCCTCTGCCTGCCTACCCTGTCACCGTGGCCTGCAACTCGCTGGTGGCTGCCGAGAGCAAACTCCACGGACTAGCTCAGGCTGCAGGTGTGGGTTTTAAGTTGCAGTGAGTGTGAGCATACCATACGGCCTTTTTAGAATTTTTTTTTTATGTGTGCATGATATTCAATCCTGTCGTTTAGCTTTTGCTACCTATATTAACAGAAGGCTGCTGTTCACGAAAAATGGGCCTGGGACCCTACAAAATATTCTCTTGCACTTCACAAAGTTTTGCGTTCTTAATATTATGCTCCAACCAAAAGGTACTTTTGCCGTTCTGTACGTGCTCAGGTCTGTTCTACAACGGGACAACAGGGCATCTGACCTGTTTCAACATCACCTCAGAGTTCATAGAGTGTGCAGACCCCACTGGATGTGGCACTGGGCCAGCTTCTCTCAGCTGGGACTATCAGGTATATACTGTGGGACCTCTGAATTCGGGACACCTTGGGGACATCGAAGGTTTAATCAGCAGTGTCCCTTATTCAGAGGTAATAATATTGTTATTATGTAAAGACAGGTGTCCTTTATTTAGAGTGTCAATTTTCAGAGGTTTCACTAGGCAAGTATATACTACGTAGATCAGCAACTAATATGCCAGCTACAAGTAGAGATTCAATATCTCGATTGGGCTAACTGAATAATAATTGCGCTAATTCATTTTGCTGTATGGGCACTTACATGACAGATGGAGAAGGGTACATATTGAGTTAGCAACTGGGTAGACTTGTTGCTCTTGCCCGATATCCATGGAAACGGTTTGTGTGTGTTGTCACTCTGGCTGGCCTAAGCTGGTAAGAAGATCCTTTGATCTCTGCATGTGACTAGCAGGCCTCAACAGAACTGATACTGCGATGCTATAGTGTGTTGTTAGCTGAAGCTGTATGTATACAGTAGAACATAGAAATAGTTCATAGAAAACTCTGAATAACAACCTCTTATTAAAGGACACACTTTGGGGTCCCATTTATTAGAGAGAGAAACCTCCCTATATAGACAAATGCCTGGCCCCAACATGTCCATTATTCAGAGGTTCCACTGTGTGATGATGCCTTCCAAATTTGACCTCTGCATGTTGTTCGCAGGCATGTACGGAGATGATGCTGCGGTGTGCAACCAACAACCAGACCGACTATGTTCCCAGTGCACGGCTACGACCCTTCCCAGTACTGCAGGCAAAAGTGGGGCACCTCGTTCAGGTCCGGCTGGATGGCCACCCAGTTCTGGGGCAAAGGTAGTCACGGATCATCTCCACAGATCTCTATTAGTAATATGAAACACGTGTGTCAATCACAGATATCAGTACAGCTTCCAATATCATCTTTTCCAACGGAGATCTGGACCCATGGAGTGTGGGTGGGGTGAGTGTGGTCTAATGTTCTATACAGACTCTTGGTAGCTAGCTATATAAACCCCAGGTGACAGAGAGTTTGTCAGAGAGTCTCACAGCGATTCTGATAAAGGGAGGAGCTCACCATCTTGATCTGAGGTAATGGGTGAGGTAATGGGCAAGCTATCATTATGAGAGAGCTATTGTAACCTCTTCTCTACGCCAGTAGCATGCGTATGTTGCCTCTAGCCATATCAGCTGTATATTAAAGGTCATGTGTTTCTCACGCATGAGTCTCATGAAATCTCTATGGTATATACACTCCTGCTCAATTTAGTGCTAGACCACCCCATGTGTGGGCCTACCATACTACTCACATTTATGGGATGTCTATTCTACGCATGCATCCAACGGTATCTGTCTTTATGAGAAAGAATATCTTCTTCTGTTCAGGTTCAGTAATCCGGCAGACCCACCATCGGTCATAGAGGCCAGGGAGAAAGAGAAGGAGATTATTGCTGGATGGATCAAGTCCTGAACATTCCATGTGCTCTCGTTAGTGTTTTAAACTGACTCTTGTGTATTTCATTTTGTGTTTTTTCCTCTTCGGCACATGTTGTATAATTTGTCTTTGAGGTATTCACAAACACTGAAAGTTTGGTGACTTCATTTTCAAAACATGTTTTCACGATATTATATATACCATGAACAGCAGAGACTGTTCCAGTCTAAAGTATATTGTACTCCAGAGTCAACTGTAAGTTAGGCTATAGACAGATATGAAAGGGCTGTTGGGGTTGCTCATCTTGGTGTGCTTGGAGAGAAGAGCTCTTGCACGTAAGACAGCTCCTTTTGTGTGGCAAAAGATGGAGTTAACTATTCTCTTCCATTCAGAAGGCTGCAATGATATGAACTGCAATACTGGTTGTTCCGTGGCACAAGAACACAATTTGACACTGGAACTTTCACTGGAAACTAGCAATAGCATGTGCCTGATTAATTCGACAAGCATTACTAACTGGAGTGTAAACCAGAAAGCCAGAGTTACAACCATTAGTCAATATGATGGGCTCATCTTTTGTGGAATAATGGACTCAACTTGTAATATTCCTTCAGATATCATCAGTTATTCTTGTGAGGGTAATTCAGTGGTACAATTGGTATGCAACCTAGAACGGATCAGCCCCACAAACTGTGACATGGTATTATGATTTAGACCATTTTGTTATGCATACATAACAGCTATTCTGAATTCACAGGGTATGACAGACCGGCCAGTTTTAAGTTTAGAGCTCGCTGTGAGGTATTGCTAACCAAGTGACCGTCATATGCATGTATCATAACTCTCCACAGGTGCTGCAGGAACATGAACATGAAAAACTGCTACAGAGAGCAAAACCACTGTGTAGGAGTTGCAGTAGATGATAGCCAAACACCAGCAACAGGATCGCTACCAAACTGTGATACACCAAGTGGGACACCAAGTGAGCCACTGAGTGAGACAACAAGTGAGCCACTGAGTGAGACATCAAGTGAACCACTGAGTGAGACATCAAGTGTGACATCAAGTGTGCCACTGAGTGAGACATCAAGTGTGACATCAAGTGAGCCATCAAGTAGGACATCAAGTGAGCCACTGAGTGAGACACCAAGTGGGACAGTAGGAGGGACAGAAAAGGAAGGAGAGAGCTCTGCAAGTACATCCTCTACAGTGACTATAGTTGCTAGTGTCTTTGGCTGTCTGATAGTCCTAATTCTGGCAGCACTGTTGGCACTTCAGCTAATTCGCATCTTCCGCAAGAGAAAGTACCATCAGCATACCATTAGTGGTAAGAAATAGCCCATTACTAATTTTTTACACACATTATAATAACTTTACAGGAAGAACAGAAAATAGTGACACTACAGCGCAGAATACGTACGCACAAGGGTAAGATGACACTGCTGGTATATATGCACTTTCCTTGCATCAATTACAGGCCACCATTGCCAGGAGAGCCCGCTCCATATGAGCCTGCCGTTGTGAATGGGTCAGGAGCAAAGGACCTCCCTCTACACCAACAACAGCCATCTCCCTATGAAACTGCCACTGTCACCAATGGAGTTTACTCTCTACTGGAGCCACCAGATGAGATACAGAGCAGGGGCCAGCCTGGAGGAGACAGGACCGACACCACTGTTGACCAACATATTTACGAGGACGCAGACAGATATGTCAGGTAAGGAGGTATGGCTAAAGAGACTGAGTGTATTTCACCATAATATCTCAGCTCTCCTGAGTGTGGCATTGTCAATGCTGACTATGAGGTGTCCCTGAAGAGTGCAAGAGATCCCAATAAAAGGTAGACATGTGCATCATAGGCTAGACCTAACGTATATCTATACACTGCTCTGGTCTAGCCCTCTGCCTGCTACTGATGGTGATGACTATGCTGACCCAGACGATGCTCTGTTTGATGATGAAGAGTATGAAACACGACCAAAGACCATCAAGTGAGGGACTTTTACTTTCTCCCTAACTCACTCAAATAAGTAAAACATACTGATTTTCTTGACAGATCAGCTGGTGGTGGAAATGATAGAGCACCAATAAGCGCACAGTGAAGTTTCCACCGACAATGAAGTATGGATACCTAGTAACTTATGATTCTGTTTGATCAGGTATCAGCCTTCAGATGAAAATGACTACTCTGTTCCCAGTGATGCCATAATTGAGGAGACCGATAACCAAGAGTAAGTGCCATTTGTGTGCCACCATAGCTAATGCTGCCATTCTTACCACACATCAGATCACATGATGGAATCCTCAACCCACTCTACCACGAGCTGGGGAAGAACATGAACCAGGTTAAACCCAACAATGACCCTTCAATGTTAGTATCTCGTCACATAATAATAATAATGCTTGTGAGATGATATTCTCCATTGCTAGAACTGGAGTGCCCAAGGGAAAAGCAGCCACTGTCGAGTCTACAATGTATGAGCCTGCTGTGTCAGCACCTCGTCCATCTACTGCTCACTCAGACATGGAGCCTATCACCACCTCACATGTGGACATTGAGACTACATCCTCACACCAGGGTACTCAAGATAACACCTTGTCTGACAGGGAGGACAGCACACCACAAAGCACAGTGGATCAGCACAAGCCCACAGACCCAGAGACTTAGATTCTGTTCAAAACTGATTTTTTTCATATATATACTAATCAACCGTGGAAGTGACAGCATGCGTGAAGAATTTACATACTACCAAGGTTCTCTTTTATGTCTTATCCCACCTTGTTAATTTGTAGCTGGACGGATCTTGCATGTCTGAGACTTTCATTGTTGTTTGCGCTTTTGGTTCAGCATTCTCTGCATGATATTTCCTATCTGTGCAGTACAGAACAACACTGAAAGTTTATGTGACTTTGTTTTCAAAACATGTTTTCACGCTATTCACTGGACGGCACAGACTGTTCCGGTCCAAAGTAATAGTAGCTACTCCAGAGTCAACTGTATGCTAGGCTAAATGTAAGATATGAAAGGGCTGTTTGGACTGCTCATCTTGGTGTGCTTGGAGAGAAGAGCTCTTGCACGTAAGACAGCTTCTTTTGTGTGGGAAAAGAGGGAGTTAACTATTCTCTTCCATTCAGAGGACTGCAATGATATTGACTGCAATCCTGGTTGTTTTGTGGCACAAGAACGCGACTTGACACTAGCAATTTCACAGGAAACTAACGATGGCACATGCCTGAATCTGATTAACTCAACAGGCATTACTAGCAGGAGTGTAAACCTAAAAGCCACTGATACGGCGATTAATCGACATGATGGGCTCATCTTATGTGGAATAATGGACTCAACTTGTAATATTCCTTCAGATATCGTCAGTTATTCTTGTGAGGATAATTCAGTGGTACAATTGGTATGCAACCTAGAACGGATCAGCCCCACAAACTGTGACACGGTATTATGATTTATACCATTTTGTTATGCATACATAACAGCTATTCTGAATTCACAGGGTATTCAAGACCCACCATTTTTTAGATTAAAGCTCGTTGTGAGGTATTGCTAACCAAGTTGTATGCATGTATCATAACTATCATGACCTCCGCAGGTGCTGCATGCGCAGGAACATGAAAAACTGCTACAGAGAGCAAAACCGCTGTGTAGGAGTTGCAGTAGATGATAGCCAAACACTAGCAACAGGATGGCCACCAAACTGTGAGACACCAAGTGTGACAACAAGTGTGATACCAAGTGAGCCACTGAGTGGGACACCAAGTGAGCCACTGAGTGAGACACCAAGTGGGACAGCAGGAGGGACAGATAAGGAAGGAGAGAGCTCTGCAAGTACATCCTCTACAGTGACTATAGTTGCTAGTGTTCTTGGCTGTCTGATAGTCCTAATTCTGGCAGCACTGTTGGCACTTCAGCTAATTCGCATCTTCCGCAAGAGAAAGTACCATCAGCATACCATTAGTGGTAAGAAATAGCCCAGTACAAATTTTTACACACTCATAATAACTTTACAGGAAGAACAGAAAGTAGTGACACTACATCGCAGAATACGTACGCACATGGGTAAGATGACACTGCTGGTGTATATGCACTTGCCTTGCATCAATTACAGGCCACCATTGCCAGGAGAGCCCGCTCCATATGAGTGTGCCGTTGTGAATGGGTCAGGAGCAAAGGATCTCCCTCTACACCAACAACAGCCATCTCCCTATGAAACTGCCACTGTCACCAATGGAGTTTACTCTCTACTGGAGCCACCAGATGAGATACAGAGCAGGGGCCAACCTGGAGGAAACAGGACCGACACCACTGTTGACCAACATATTTACGAGGACGCAGACAGATATGTCAGGTAAGGAAGTATGGCTAAAGAGACTGAGTGTATTTCGCCATATATCTCAGCTCTCCTGAGTGTGGCATTGTCAATGCTGACTATGAGGTGTCCCTGAAGAGTGCAAGAGATCCCAACAAAAGGTAGACATGTGCATCATAGGCTGGACCTAATGTATATCTGGTCTAGCCCTCCGCCTGCTACTGATGGTGATGACTATGCTGACCCAGATGATGCTCTGTTTGATGATGAAGAGTACGAAACACGACCAAAGACCATCAAGTGAGGGACTTTTACTTTCTCCCCAACTCACTCAGATTAACATACTGATTTTTCTTGACAGATCAGCTGGTGGTGGAAACAATAAAGCACCAATAAGCACACAGTAAAGTTTCCACCGACAATGAAGTATACCTAGTAGCTAACTTATGATTCTGTTTGATCAGGTATCAGCCTTCAGATGAAAATGACTACTCTGTTCCCAGTGATGCCATATTTGAGGAGACCGATAACCAAGAGTAAGTGCCGTTTGTGTGACACCATAGCTAATGCTGCCATTCTTACCACACATCAGATCAGATGATGAAATCCTCAACCCACTCTACCACGAGCTGGGGAAGAACGTGAAGCAGGTTAAACCCAACAATGACCCTTCAAGGTTAGTATCGCGTTGCATAATTATGCTTGTGAGATGATATTCTCCGTTGTTAGAACTGGAGTGGCCAGTGAAAAAGCAGCCACTGTCGAGTCTACAATGTATGAGCCTGCTGTGTCAGCACCTCGTCCATCTACTGCTCACTCACACATGGAGCCTGACACTAACACCACCTCACATGTGGAGACAGAGACGACCTCATCAGTTCCTGATAAGGAGCCTCAGAGTTTGAAGCCAGACCCACCACACAGCGACATACCTTCACCCCTTACAGACAACAAGGAGGACCATCATACTGAGAAGGGGCCACCCAACTAGTGACTGAGCAAAAATACTCTCCATGAATACTGACTCTCCATAACTCCTACATTAGTGCACAGCTAAACACAGATTATTAATTAACATACACATTGTGTGTCACTACTATACACTGTTAATATAAGATGCCGTCAAGAAAAACATGAAAGTGAAAATGAACACTGATGTTTGCATGGAGAGAGTTACATAAAACAGTTGGAAAACTTATGATAACTTTCACTTTTTGAATTGAAGTTATATATACGCTATATGTAATCTGTGCACGTCAGTCTTTCCAGATCAGACTAGTGATATAATTTAGTGCACGCAGTGTGTATAGTATTGAGATTGGTAGATTAGTAAACTATGGGGTTGTGCTTGATCCTGCTATTACTGTTGTTCACACAGGGATATGTGCTACATGCAGGTGAGACATAAGCTATATAACTGTTTTTCAAAGTATCATATAATAATACTTATCTCATTTAGAGATGTGTCAAAACCGCCCTATAAACCTAACCATCAGTCTGCCATCAAATCCCATGCCTCCACTGCTACCACTACCATCACCATGTTTGCGAGGATGCATGACTCTAAAGTGTGGCCCCAGTGATGTTACAATCGCATATCTGAAAAAGGAAGAGTTGTGCTATGTAGAAGCGATGCTTTCAAATAATACGTATTGCTGTCGGAAGGAGAGGATGGGGCAAGGAAATCAAATGGTACAGACTGGAGTTGTGTGTTCTGAATGGTGTAATTCATTGCCTTGTTGTAAACCAGCAGAATCGAGGAAACATAACCTGCCAGCTGGCAGGGCCTGATATGCAACATGGAGACAAGAAAAACAGGGACAAAGAAAATAGTGATATGTCAGGCGGAGGTGACCACAAACTAATAGCCGGCATCGTTGGAAGTCTGATAGTACTGTTGCTTGTGGCCATATTCGTTGTGCTTCTGGTTCAAATCTTACGGAAAAGGCGGCATGGACACACCCCACCAGGTAAGGTAACACACATGCAGCAGCTGACACAAGCACTGCTTCGTGCACTACATGCCCTTTCCAGAGTGAAAGTATATTCTACAACTATCTGTGTACATTTAGGTGAAGGAAGTGGATATCGCAACAGAGGCACGACAGACACATACACACACAGGTTCGTAAACAGCTCCCGTGTGCTCCCTGTACAGTTCTCAACTGCCACCCAGAGAGCCCTCTCCTTACGAATGTCCCGTAAGAGAACCAAAAAACCGAGATTATGCTGAGCTTGAGAGAGAACAACCAACCGGCAGTGGCAGCCGATATGCCCGAGCAGAATCTGGACCACCTCTATGAAGATGCAGACAAATACTTTATGTTAGATGTGTATGACCAGTGGCCCGAAAGTCCTCTTATTATAATATAAACCTTCATTACAGGGGTAATAATGGTGGGGATTTTGCTGTCTCTGGTTATGAACTAACTGGAAAGGGACAAAACGGACAAAGGCCACAGTTCAACTGCATCATGTAAGAAAATCCGTCTTTGTCAAGTCCAATGATTTCTATCTTGAATATTAGAACTCCTCCCCCTGAGGATGACTATGCCAGTCCAGATGATGCAGTGGCCAACAACACGGGAGTGACAGTCGCACCACATGAAACTGACAGGTAGGGAAAGGAAACACTATTGATGGCATTCTTTGTATCACTAAAACTATCTCATGCAGTCAGAAGTCTACTGCAGTTGAGGAACCTCAGACAAAAGAGGTGGAACAACACGACTACGCTTTGTTGGAGAACGACCTCAATGTATTGAAAGGTTGTTTCATTTGCCATTAATAAAATGATATGTTGATGTCCTTCCCATGCAGGCAATGGAGCAGCAACCGGCAATATGGAGGTGGAAGAAGAAGAAGGGGAAAGTGAGACCTCTCCGGTCTCAATCCCAGACTGAGAGGATAGTGTTCATAGTCATCAACAACATGACCAACTTTAACACTGAAACCACTCCTAAGGAGTGATGTGATTTTTTACGATGATCTGTTTGTTATACGAGCAAGTCCTCATTTTCACAAGAAACATACCACTAATCTGTGCCAGCGCATACATCACTGACATAGTGAATTGAGACTGGTGTACGTCACCATCCTCTTGGTTTTGTTAAGTCATAGCAAAGGGGTAATAATAACACGCCGAGCTATAGAAGTAAAAGAGTTTTCTTACCACAAGATAAACTGACACACCCACCATCAATCACGCTGAACATTGGACAATAATTGATATCACCCCTTAAACATTAAACAGCATGAAGTAAGTGATACTTTGATATCCACCAGGAAATAGGAACAGGAAACCATAAACACACAATGAAACAACAACTATCACAATGGACCCAGTGCATGTATATAATATAGCACTGTATACAGCTATCTCTCACCAGTTCCTTTAGAGCATTCAGTAAGTGGTTGTGATGCATGCCTTTGGATGTTAGACTTGTTGTAGTTGAATAAATATGGAACTTTGCTGGTGGATGCTGATGTGCTGGCTATGGGCCATACAAAGACCTATGTTATGTGAAGGTGAGAACATGAATGTCACAGTGTCAGTACATGTGTTTATCAACTGGCCATCACCATGCTTTCACCACCACCACCGTCACACTGTCTTCATCAGCAAATGCATTACTTATGCCTCTAAGACCCCCATGTCACTCACCCAAACCACGCCTACCTCCACACTGCCAAACCATAATATCATCCGTGCCTCAACTACTCCCAGCCCCATCACCTCCGAGGAGGCACTCATCCATGTCTCAGCAACTAATACTTTCAGCAAAATCGTCAATGTCTTCGCAATCATTGCCAGGACCAAAAATATCACCACCACCAAAACGACCGCCGCCACCAAAACGACCGGCAAAAAAAGATGAAACAGAGTACTAATCAAGCAGTACTAGTAGGTGGTGTACTTGGGAGTCTGATAGTGCTGGTACTTATTGCCATATTCGTTGCTCTCATCATTAAACTGGTATGGAAAAGACGTGGACACACCCAGCCAGGTATATACGTTTACAGTAACGATATGTCACCTCACATTTCCAAAACGAAAGTGTTTTTCCCAACTGTCTTTGTGTCAATACAGTAGAAGGAAGACGATTTCACAACCGAGACATGATAAACACAACATACACACACAGGTTCGTAAACAGCTCGGAACAGTTTGAGTTGCCCCCTGTAATAATGAATTTATTACCCAGAGAGCCTTCGCCTTACGAATGTCCTGCAAGGCAGCCACAAGACCACGATTATGCAGAGCTGGAAAGAGAACACCCACATGACAGTAGCCAACATCAGGACTTGGTCCACCTTTATGAAGAGGCAGACAAATACTTGAGGTGAGTTATACTGACTGCTAATTATTACATACATCATTCTCTCGAAACAGGGGTGTCAATGATGAGTCTCACGCTAATGTTGGGTATCAATTAACTGGCAAGGAAATAAATGGGAAAAGGCTACAGTTTCAGTGCATCATGTAAGTCGACATCAAAAACACTTCAACTTTAGTGATTACTCTAATTAGAACTCCTCCCCCTGAGGATGATTATGCCAATCCAGATGATGCAGTGACCAGCATTATGTGAGTGACACAGTTGCACCCAACATCACACCAAAACATGAGATTTGGTGTGAGCCAACAAATAGCTACCGTGTTTCCTGCAGTCAGGAGTCAACTGGATCACAGACAGTAATGGCAGAACAACACAACTATGCTGTTTTGGAGCAAGACATCGCCACATTGGAAGGTTGAATAACTAACCAAGTGTTAAAACGTTTTCGTGACTTAGCAGACAATTTTATCAATGCAGGCAATAAGGGGATGGAGACTAAAAAAGAGGACTCCACAGAGATCTCCCATTCCCCGCTCACTGAATCCTCAACCACAATTTCAGAGGTGGAGAACAAGAACGAAAGCAACACCCCAGCTAGTCTTGAATCAAACAGCGAATATGACTATCCCTCATGCCATTAATGTGTCCCTCCCTTTCACATGTGCACAAATAAGTGTGTGTTAGTGTATTTCTGGGGGAAAATCCACATCTTTCCCAAACGGTTGATGTAATAAAACTTTCAAAATAAACATAGCCTGCGCTTGCACGAGGGACCAGAGTCAAGAAAACTATAGCTGTTTTTGCCAAATGCTGCAGTTCGTTGCGTGTCGATCATGATTCTCAAGAAAGGGATGATATGTAACCTCTTACTCTTGTCTTTAGCTTCGGCTGCTATGGGAAATCAATCCTCAAGTTCAGTATTGGGGAACACTTGTATGTCTTCAACCGCCAAAAGCAGCAATGAATGTGTAAGCATTACCTGTCAAGGTAACATATCTCAGCCTACAACCACTTGTTGCATTAATGCAACTGCACAGAAAACAAACTACAAAGACTCCATCCAAGAATGCCCTCCTTCATCGACATCTACTGGTCCAACACCAGTCTGCTCTGTTAATTGCACTATCAGATTATCATCTTTACAATCAATCACAGTAAGTGGAGAACCAAAAGTCAGTCAAAAATTCAAACTATTTCAGCAGACTGGATCAAAAATGACACCCTCACAGGTCAGTCGCATTTCACACCACAACCAAGCAAAGTTCTCAAATCAGGAAATACTTGTCGATTTTTATGCATGCTCTTTTAGACCATGGCAACACCTTCTGGTAGTTTCAGTTGGCATGGAACCACAATGCCAGTGACTATGTCACAGAATACAGCTGTTCTATCAAAGGTTAGCAAAATCTAGAAAAGATCACCACACTTTCTCACTTCCCACACACCCAGTTAAGTCTATTAGACATGCATGCAAGTGTTGTCCTGGGTGTCGTTTATTACGGGATGTGATTTTGTTTTCATACGTTTAGTTATGATTCATGCTTCATACTTCTCTGCTATTTCAGTCCACTAGACTAAGATATGCAACCCTGTCAAAACAAGAGGCTCCATCAAGGGTGAGCCCAGTTCAATATAGACCATGTATATTGGGAATATTATGATTACACAGTCACCTACACCTGAGCCCCCACGAGAGGAGGAAAAGAAACAAATAAACCTCTTTGTATTGGTGGGGGGTGCTGGAGGGACTGCTCTACTGTTAATGCTCACTGGGATCATCATATTGCAATGTGTCATACTTTGCCAGAAGAAGAAGAAGAAGAAACAACACTCAGTGAGAGAAGGTAAAACGCACCAAAATAGATGACAAAAAATCCAGCATTAAGACAACTAGGCAGGCTCACTTCACTCGCCGTTACATGTTTCTTATGATGAAACAAGTTGTAGCTAGATAGCTAAGTGCACTTGACGATGGATTTATCATGGGGTCTTCGCTGGACTGCTTTGGTGGTGATGAGAAAGACAATGGTACTGTCTGCTACTCTTTGGTAGGAGTAACGGGAGCGGCAGTGACCCTATTGTTTGCAGCAGTTATAATTCTGTGCTCCGTGTGCTTCAGACTCTATTAGGTATCTATGTGTGTTGGTAAACGCTCTGGTTACAGGTAGACACAGGTACGATATACAAAGGACTGCTGGATTCGGCGAAAATTTGGAAGTGACTAATGCAGCCTACGTATATCATCTGCCGGCTGAACGTGTAACCAACCACGTACAGAAAGTGGAAACTAGTAGAGAAGAAGACAAAAGAAACAATCAATACCAAGAGGTTGGAATTACCGACTACGAGCACATGTATTCAAAGACCGTTCAATTCAACGCTAGCGGAACACACGACGGTTGTTCCCAAGATAAATCCCAAGAGAAAGAGACAGCATACGCAGAGTTGAGTATCACAACTCTCGAGAGTGCGAGTGTTTATACAAAGATTTCTCTAAAAGAAAAGTAATTAGCGAAAAACCAGTTGTCGTCGTCTGCAGCGCATGCGCATATAGAGCAAGGCGTAGTGAATAACAAGCAGCTCATATAGCACAAATCCCTGTGTGAACCATAGTAATAGCAGGATCCAATAATTTACTAATCTACCAATCTCAATAGCTATACTTATACTCTGCGTGGACTATCACTAGCGAGTAGTGTCTGATCTGGGAAGTCTGATGCGTACAGATTATATACAGCGCAAGTTCAGTTAACAAAGTGAAAGGTTTGCCACGAGTTCAAACTCTCTCCATGCAAACATCATGTTGATTTTCACTTTCCTACATCTTTAACCCTCGGCGCGCATGCGCAGCGAGGTCTGCGTGTCTGTCTCTGTCAGCAGCTATTCTCGCACTACAGGCTACGAGGCGGCCGGTGAGCAATACCAGCGTCTTCAGAACTACGCGAGCCTGAAAAAGATTTTCCTGAAACGACTGCGTTCGAGAGATATGCCGTGAAAACAAGCGAAAAAGCCAATATGCATAATCGCACTTGGCTTACCGCGACCTGATCCGCTCGCCCTGTGTACCTTGGGGGCTCACACAATGAATGGTATGTATCGACTCCCGCATGCTGTCTACTACTGTAGCTAGCCCGTGTCATACTCTCCGCGAGCTACTAGCGCGAGCACAAAATCAGCCCATCACATTAGCAGCCGCGCATGCGTGTTCGCCGAGGGTTTGCATTAATTAATAGGGGGACACACAACGTGTATGTTAATAATCTGTGTTTAGCTGTGCATTAATAAGACTATCCCTAATTCCGAAATATGTCCCTCCCTTTCACATGTGCACAAATAAGTGTGTGTTAGTGTATTTCTGGGGAAAAATCCATATCTTTCCCAAACGGTTGATGCAATAAACTTTCAGAATAAACATAGCCTGCGCTTGCACGAGGGACCAGAGTCAAGAAAACTATAGCTGTTTTTGCCAAATGCTGCAGTTCGTTGCGTGTCGATCATGATTCTCAAGAAAGGGATGATATGTACACCTCTTACTCTTGTCTTTAGCTTCGGCGTGCTATGGGGAAAGCAATCCTCAAGTTCAGTATGGGGAACACTCTGTATGTCTTCAACCGCCAAAAGCCAGCAATGAACGTTGTAAGCATTAGACCTGTCAAGGTAACATATCTCAGCCTACAACCACTTGTTGCATTAATGCAACTGCACAGAAAACAAACTACAAAGACTCCAATCCAAAGAATGCCCACTCCTTCAATCGACATCTACTGGTCCAAACAACCAGTCTGCTCTGTTAATTGCACTATCGGATTATCATCTTTACAATCAATCACAGTAAGTGGAGAACCAAAAGTCAGTCAAAAATTCAAACTATTTCAGCAGACTGGATCATGACACCCTCACAGGTCAGTCGCATTTCACACCACACCAAGCAAGTTCTCAAATCAGGAAATACTTGTCGATTTTTTAGCATAGCTCTTTTAGACCATGGCAACATCCTTCTGGTCAGTGTCCCGTGGCATGGAACCACAATGCCAGTGACTATGTCACAGATCTACAGCTGTTCTATCAAAGGTAGCGAAGATTCTAGAAAAAGATCACCACACTTCTCTACTTCTCTCCACCTCTACCAGTTACGTCTATTAGACATGCATGCAGGTGTTGTCTGGGTGGTCTGTTATTACTTGGGATGTGGGATTTGTTTTTACACATACGACTTAGTTCATGATTCATGCTTCATACTTCTCTGCTGATTTCATTGTCCACTAGACTAAGCATGGATGCAACCGACATGTTTTTACAAACACAAGAGGCTTCAGGGTACAAGGTGTAGTAGCCCCAGTTCCAATATAGACCTTATGTCATTTAATTGGGAATGAATTTCTTGATACGGACACGTCACCTGATCACCTGATGCCCCCACGAGAGGAGGAAAACGAAACAAATAACCTCTTGTATTGGTGGGGGGTGCTGGAGGGAGGATCTAGCTCTACTAGAGTTAATGCTCTGGGCACCTGGGATCATCCTTATTGCTAATGGTCATACTGTTGCCAGCAGAAGAAGACAGTAGAAGAAACAACACTCAGTGAGAGAAGGTTAAAACACAGCCAAAATAGACTACCAACATCCCATTCAGACGATAAGTAGTAGGCTCACTTACAGACATTCACACTTGCCATTACATGTTTCCTAGGAGAAGGAGACCTGGTGAAAGAGAGAATCAACCGTTTGTACAGGTATGTGTGATGTTAATACTTCTACAGCCTACAAAAAAGTAAGGTATCTGTCCTTCAGTGATTGCCCTTAGGGCAGCTCCTATGAGTCCCCGGGAAGAGGTTTGAGAATGAGAAGAGCACAGCCTCACCACCGACGGAGCTAGATGAACGGAGCATTAGCAACACAGGGGCGATGATAGTGTACGTGTGATATACTAGTATGTTATACATTATGCGACGGCTACCAAAGGGAGCATTGCACGGTCTGCTCCATCAACACAGAATCACTTCGATACAGTGACCACAACTATAGAGGAAGAGTACGCTGGTCCACATGCCCAGTCCCTCAAACACAAAAGATCACAGGGACAGAATGAGAAAGTGTGCGCTCAGCTCCTCACCACGAAGCCAGGACCCACACAGGTCCAGCAGTCTAACCCACTAGACAAACAAACCAACCCTCGCCCACAACACAGTCCATGATCCTCGACGTCTTTTGTGTCTGCTCTGCGCAGAGTTCTAAGTCATAACTCCTTTTGCTGCTGGAATCGTCGGTGAACACACGACCACCCAAAATAGGAGGAGCATGTACTCTCTCCCACGCACACGGAATTAACCACAAACTCCCTCGGACAAACAAAGGTGGCAGCATCCGTCTTGCTTTGCGCGAGCAACACGGCAGGAACAACAGAAACAGGTTTACAGTGAGTTGGCATGACGTTAGTAAGAACCAGGACAGCCATCACTGCTACTATATACTGACAGGTAAGCCGGCAGTACACGCCTAGTTGCAACAGCAGAGTCGAGTCAGCCATGGATGGCGGGGGATCATGTTTACTCACTCGGGAGCACCACGTGTATGCACAACTGACGTGGAGTTACACAGTGTTTGAGTTTCTTCCCATTGGGTGTGTGTGTGAAGCGCTTTATGCTGGTTGACTTACAGTGGTAGAGGCGCTCAGCTAGAAAGCAGAGTCTGCTTGTTTGAATCCATTCCGCCTAGTCCTTTTTTGCCTTGAAAAGAAGTTGTCCTGTGTGTAGTTGACTTGTTTGCTTGCGCTTTCGACCCTTGCTGTGTGTTTATCTATCAAGGAGAATATACTACACATATCGTATATTCCGACTCAGAGTGGTGGAGAAGAGTCTGTGAGAGAGGCCAAAAAGGTCCTAACTCATTTAAATGACTCTGAGTTACACAAAAGAAGAGCACCTACCAGAATGAAACATCATAAGACAAGAACTCTTGCAACATACTTTTTGTTATTTCGTAGTAGTGAGTGATACATTTGCAATATGGTTGTGGGTTGTACAGTGACGTGAAAGACACTGTGAGTCGCTCTTCCTCAGTTCAGTATGGTGAAGCTATGATGAAGAACACAAAAGGACATCATATATAGTATCTACTGTTGTATTTAAGACAGCATAACTGTGTTAGCACGTACATATAGCCACCGTGATATAAACAAGCGAAGTACTAGGACCATTAGTACGCTATGTGCTTGTCTGTGAGTAGTTGTGCAGACCACGACTGCTGCGTGAGTGGCAGTGCATGGTATCACCAGCAGATGAGGAAAGAGAGAGGAACCGGAGGAGAGCTATGAAAAGCGACCGTGTTGCTATATTTCTGCTGACACTTCTCAACTGGGCTGGTGAGGTAACTCTACATAATCTAATCCGGGAATAACTCAGAGTGTTTGCACAGTGATCAGAGTTATTCTAGGTTATGTGATGTTTTGTTGTAGACGAGCATCAGGGGGCTCCTGGCACCACCTGTGAAAAGAAATGACTGCGGTGAGACAGGCCCTTAGTGGGCAGTGGTACAGATGCCGGTAGCAGGTGGAGATGAGGACAAGTCGTATAGCGTTAATGTATCTCAGCCACCAACAATACCAGCACCCACGTCCAGACACCAAACCCATGTCTACTCATCTCCAAGTTCCAGAAAACAGTTTTTGTTTACAAATCACACTCAGCCTCAGCCACATCACTATGACCACCAGTGTGTTATCAGTGAATCACAACCTGTGTACTCCTCTGAGTTTAGGGGCCAAACTCTCAAGTTCATTAGTCTCACGCAAACAAGTTTACAGACAGTCTTATTGCATGGCCTCATTGAACGTCAGGCTTGTAGTGGCTACTCGGTATTGGATTGCACGTCCACAGAGCATTTCGAATGTCAAACTGTTTTCCCAAGAAACCCAATTCAGGTATAGATTTCGGTCTTTCTCCTCAAGAGGCAATCGAGAGTTAAAAAAAATCAACAAGGCACATGCTCCAGACACCCCATCAACCTCCCCCCCATGAACAGGCCCAGTGGCTCCACCACGACGTCAGGTTGCAATTACAATACAAGCCTATCCTTCTATTCATTCAAAAAACAAACAACGTCACCACCACTCATACTGCCATTATTAGAGCCCACCATGCACTATTCCCACATTCACTCCTTATTCAGTCCTGTCACCCTCGATTGTTGTGCACCTGAGCATGTCTAGCGGTGACAGAGACACTACAATGACAGACGTCACCCACGGCCACTGCCCAGCGTCACATGACACCTCACTCGCTCACCGGCGCACACACACAGCACTCCACGGCCAGGTGCAGAGGACATAGTTACTTTACGTTCATCACACATCAATGTTCCAGGTAGCTGATCCAACGTGGGAACAGCAACTGCACAATTCTGCAGCACGGGCTCACGTCCAATAATATCACTGGAAGTTGGAGAGAGTACTTCCCTACATACAGCTACTCCCCGGGTATACTGCAGTGGGCATGTAGTGTTGGGAGGGTGTGCCAGTTTTTTAATGCTGATCGCTGTCAGTTGCCGAATAGCGTTAACTAGCATCGATATGTTGTGTTGGGTCACACACTCGCGTCGTCATCTTCAGGGTACTAAGTACGCAATAAGGTCAGAGAACCTGTGCAGCAAAGGCGGACTTTATCACCTCTTCGTTGCACGTACTCTCTGAAATGATCGGGGTATGACTAGTAGACAGTAGTGCGACTCTACTCTGGTCAGCTACATTCATGAATATAGCTACACACACGCACGACTGAGCCATTTGTTCTTGTGAGCTCGCATGTCTCAGCTGCATGTCCGTCTCACTAGACTACAGGATCAGCCGGTCGAAGAGCAGTTTTCCGCCGCTCAGCAACACGCTGTAACTACTCACGCCTCCTACACCTTGACTCCAGGACACAGAAAGAAAGATGTTTGACACACCATGGATACAGCCTACGACTCATCGACATTTAAAACAGGTCGTCAATAGAAACAGAGAGTAGTCTTCATATATCTTAATGCAATACTATAGATCAAGCCTGTGCACAAAGTCCGAGAAGCAGACGACCATGAAAACTCACAGGAGAGAAACTCCCACAACTGAAGGAGCACTAGCAGACCATTTTCAACGGCCAGGAGAAGATTCGAACAGCCACATTAACCCAAAAAGGGACGCTGCCTTCAAATTACAGCCGCATACATCCCAGCAGCATTCGTCCCAGCCTTCTACATCAGGCGATGAAGAGCTGGTGACAAGTGGAAAAGGACGGACAGCCGAGAGCTCTCAGAAGGACGTCGATGATTGCGAGAGGGAAGATAAGCCCTCACAAACCTGTATCAACGCTGCCTCTTCAGATATGACAGCAGAAACAGATGAAAAGGAGATTGTTGTGGGATCCCTCAGTGACGAAAGAAACGATGAGTACCCCACCTTGGAGGAAAGGGACGAAAACCGAAACAGGACACCCACAGAGAAAGAAGATGTGAACAAAGGAAGAGAAGTTGAAGCATTAGAGTATTCTCAGTGTGAACCACAGTTTGCAGTAAACAGAGGAGAACTAGAAGAAGGAAGTCTCCCACAGTGTGACACATAACCAAAATAGCCACGGCACATTTTGTTTTAGCGAGTTTTGTAGTGAATTCACTTTGTAGCTAACGAGTATTTGTTTATTCAAAGAGCAGCTGAGGTATGCATTATGGTATCTGCTGTTTTGTCTCAATCGCATGTGTTGACTTGTAAAATCTCCAAACGAAAGGTTGCGTAGAAACGGCGGGCTTTTGTTTGGAACAATAGGGCACGTGGACGCAGGTAAAAAATGAGTATAAATCCGGCACCAACATGTTGGACACGAGCTGATAGTATATAGAAAAGATGCAACCCAGAGCACATGGACTAATTTTCGTTTTCTTTCTTGGGGCACTATCACTGGCAAGTGGGCAAAAGGGAAACGATGAAAACGGTGAGCTTCTTTCAGCACGAGTTGACGTATACAAATTATCCACTATATTACTATAGATAGCTACATGTTTTTTTCCTAAGATACAGCAAATTGCTCGCTGTGGTACTACAGCATGCCAGAGAGCATTGTGTGCAGAGATGGGACCCATTTCTCAACAGCGTGTCAGGTGAAGGCTCCCTGCGGTGTTAAGACCAACGTCACGTGGTACTGGAGCCCACAGGACAGATCCAACTCTACCTACATCATCAGAGACTCCAACAATACTCGCATGAGAGCACTGCATTCGCAAACGGACTCGTGTACCAACAACTCGGTTCTGCTGCATCACATCTATACATTGACCCTGGCAGGACTGAGCAGCAAAAATGCCGGTTTCTACTGGTGTCAGTTGGAGATTGCTGAGGAAAAGGAGTCAAACGCTGCTGCGAGAAATCTGCTGCCATCCGATAAGTGTCGTGTTGGGGTGGATGATAAGCTCGTTGGTTGTGAGTATGGAGAACACAAAGACGAATGGAAATGCGCTCAGACTCTAGCCACAGTTACTAATGAAGATTCAGAGGATGTGGATGCATACGGCAGCAGGGCACCAGAACTGCTTGCCACAGTTCAGAGACCTTCTCCTACAGTGACTCTGCACGATACCAGTGGGAGGAAGACCCCTCCAATCAAGATGCAGTGGACAGTGATGGAAGTCGTTTTATTCGTAGTGGTTCTGCTGTGTGTAGCAATCATAGTACTCTTGCTGGTGTGTGTCTTTATCAAGAGGAAAAGAAAGAGAGCAGGTAATGACAATTAACTCTTTTCATGCACGATAATGGCTACATCTTCCCTGCACAGACCCAAGGACGCCTGATACGACAATTGTTTTGAAGCAATTCAAGAACAGCTCGGATAAAGAGGCTTCCGCTATCGGCCATGCTCGGTACACGCCAGTCAGCACCCTCACCCGAACCCACCCTATCCCCCAGCTGGCGTCTGAGTGGTGTAAATCCTCCAGCACACTACAGAAAGAAGACCCGATCTACTCCAGTCCCTACCAGCACCTAAACACAACCAGCATGGACTACACCAACATGTACTCCAAACTCCACCAGTGATGTCACAACTATACACTCGGCCACCTCAAAGACTAAATCCCCCTGCATAGTCACTGACCTGTGAACTGTTATGCTGCATGGAGTTTTGTTGTACGTATTCATCACCTGCTTTCTAACCAAGGAAATCACTTGGTGAGAGTCCCACCAGGTGGTGAATACAGTTGTCTTGGTCTTCAAGTTATCTGTAATCGTGCATTAATCTCGCTGCATCATCTCAGTGTTTTTACTGCTTGTGCAGGCAGGGGGTATGAAAAATCCAGTAGCTAGAGTTTATCGTGTTAGCGTTGAAGGAAGATTGGAGGCCGGAATTGCAATGTGGAGGCTTCTGTTTGTTCTGCTCGTGTTTGCAGCTTGTGACGGGCCTGCGGCCACAGCTCAGCTCTTGGGTAAGCAAGCCGCGCATGCACGCGACACTGCGCAGCGTAAAATGCGCGCGACAATCATTTCTGCAGGCCCAGAGGAGTGTGGGATTGGGTATCAGTATAGATCTCCGCCCGAGATGCTCAACTGCCGAGCTAATATCACTGTGACCCGCCTGAACTGCTGGGTCGCAATCCCCAATGTTACACCACCAGGTGCTAGGGTCAATGTCGTGTGGTATTGGAGAAGTCGTGACGAAGCAGAGAGGGGATCAAATTCAGCATTTGAAGTCGCTGACTCTCCTCCATTTAAATACGTGAACACTGTCTGCGACCGTGAATCGATTTGCCCAAATGACCTGGAAAACCTGACAGTCAACGTGAGCTACCTAGAGATTAGCCACTTTGAGGCTCCACTCCAGGGAGACTATGCCTGTCGTTTAGTGCTCATCAATCAGAAATACAGCAGGTAAGGGTATCACCAGGTCTCCCTGGGGTGGGGGGTCGGTGGGGCACCGGGCCAGGGAGGCGCGAGGGAGCCCACGCGACCCCACAGGGGGGGGGAGGGGGGGGGGGGGGGAGGACAATTGAGCCGTCGGCTTG